GAGCAATTTTACACAATTTTTGAGACGATCGTGCGAAAAATGATCGAGCAATCCAATCAGAAACGGACCCTAAAAACGGCAAAAACGGCAAAAAATCGCCATTTCAACCCAAAATGGCCGACTTCCTGTTTGATATTGACCATGGTTGCAAGAGACTTTTCTGTGCGGACTGTTGAGTACTACAAGTGTACCAAATTTCATAACTGTACGATAAACTAAGCTTTATGGAGAGGGGTTTTTTTCACTTTGTAGGGGGCGCTGTTCAGCCATTTTCTTTGCGATTTTTTTGGGACCTTTAAAATATCAAATTTTTCACCAGGCCTGACAAGTGTGCAAAATATTGTGAGTTTTGGGGTATGTTAAGGTCCCCAAAAAGCTGTTCAAAGGGGGCACGGAATAACAAAAAATAATAATAATCAGAGCAAAAACAAGAGGCCTTCGCAGCGCTTTCGCTGCTCGGGCCTAATAATAATCAGAGCAAAAACAAGAGGCCTTCGCAGCGCTTTCGCTGCTCGGGCCTAATCAGAGCAAAAACAAGAGGCCTTCGCAGCGCTTTCGCTGCTCGGGCCTAACTAAATTTCTGCAAGCCAAAATGAAAAAGGGGACAGAAAGAAGAAAAACTTATGTTGTCTGCCCCTTTTAACTAAAATAGCATTAATACAAATGAAATAATCATATGATTCTTAAGGAAATTGAACAATATAGTTCCTGGACCTGTTGGCCGACAAAATCTCAACCCATGAATTTGAGAAAAAAAATAGAAAAAGAAAACAATTTACACAGAAAGAAGCATTAAGTTACAGATCTATATACATACATATATACACATACAAGCACATACTAGGTTAATATCTTGTTCCTTTAATCCCCCCCACCCCCCTCCCCTTTTAAATCTGTCTAACTGGCATATTGCCCACATCTTAAGACATCCTTATCACTCTATTGCTACTTGATAGTACATCGTGTTGGCATTCAGTTAAAGGCAGACATTGGTTTTAAACTGTCAGGCAGAAGCACTAGAAGATAACCTCACCCCGAGCATTATGGGTAACCAGAACAATGTTTACACAATACAGTGACTATGACATCATACTTCTGTTTATTGGAAGGGTTAGGATTAACCCTTACTGCTACTGGGTTAGGCTTATGGGCAATGACAGTGAGACATGGAGGGGTGTGGTTAGGAGGAACATTACCCCTGATCTGACTCCTGTGGATTGTCCATAATGAACCCTACGTTCAGGCATGAAGGTGTCTATAAGTGCCCTTGGCACCAGGATACCTTGGGCCACAGCGCGATGATCGACTTCGTTGTCGTCTCATCTGATCTGCGGCCGCATGTCTTGGACACTCGAGTGAAGAGAGAGGCGCAGCTGTCAACTGACCACTACCTGATGGTTTACTTCGATGGTGGAGGAGGATGCTTCCATCGTTAGGGATGCTGTCAAGCCAAAGAAAGAGTCCTGTCAGGTCCTTTTGGCCTGTGGGACTCCAGAGGCAGCTGATGGGTACCGGCAGTCCAAGCTGAATGTGGCTCGGGTGGTCATAGAGGCAAAAATCTGGGTGTGGGAGCAAGACTTCCATACAGCTTAGAGAAGATTCAGGTCCACCATCTCAAGAGAGGAAAGTAATATTCTTCCAACACTGTTTATGGGAGTAATGTTGTGCTACTGACCTCGACTCGGGATGTAGTGGATCGGTGGGCAAAATACTTTGAAGACCTCCTCAGTCCCACCGGCATGTCTTCCAGTGAGACAGCTGAGTTTGGGAACTTTGGAAGTGGGCTCTCCAATCGTTGGTGCTGAGGTCGCTGAGGTGGTCAAAAACTCCTCGGTGGTAAGACCCGTGGGGTGGATGAGATCTGCTGGGAGTTCCTTAAGGCTCTGGATGCTGTGGGGCTGTGTTGGTTGACACAGCTCTGCAATATCGCGTGAACATCGGGAAAAGTTCCACATGATTGGCAGATTGGGGCGGTGGTCCTTCTTTTTAAAGGGATACTCTGCAAAATGTTCATGTATTCAAATCATTTTCTTGAGCCAGTATGTGCTAAAAGGACCCTTTACATGGTAATGAAAATCATTCAGACCCCCACCACCGCTGTGGCTAGAAAATCACACTTGCAACTTCATACTGGCAGGCCGCCTCCTGTTGGACTTGAAAAAAATTGAAGTGACATAACTGGTGCTGCAGTCTGCTTCCAGCACGTTTCCTACATGTTTTAGATCAGGAACACAGCAATTCGTTTTATTTAGTGATGAATCAATCCTGTAGACACTAAAGAAGGCTGAGAAGACATTTCAGCTTTTAGATTAAGGTATAAAAAGGTGAACGCACAGCAAGGAGAGAAGTTTAGGTTTTGGTTCTACTAAACTGACACTAGGGGGTGCTAAAAGCAAACCAAAACTGTGCCTTTAAAAAGGGGACTGCAGGGTGTGTTCCAACTACAGGGAGATCACACTCCTGAGCCTTCCTGGTAAAGTCTATTCAGAGGTTCTGGAGAGGAGGGTTCATTGGATAGTTGAACCTCGGATTCAGGAGGAACAATGTGGCTTTCTTCCTGGCTCACTGGACCAGCTCTATACCCTTAGGGAGGTCCTGAAGCGTGTGTGGGAGTTAGCCCAACCAATCTACATGTGTTTTGTGGCTTTTGAGAAGGTGTTTGACAGCATCCTGTACAGGGCCCTATGGGGGGTATTTTGTGAGTATGGGGTATCAGGCCCTTTAATACGGGCTGTTAGGTCCATGTATGACTGGTGTCAGAGTTTGGTCTGCACTGCCGGCTCATTCCCATTTAAAGTTGGACTCCTCCAATGCTGCCCCTTGTTGATTCTGCTCATGACTTTCATGGACAGGTTTTCGAGGCGCAGCCATGGTGTTGAGGGGATCTGTTTGGGTGGTCTATTGATTGAGTCTCTGCTTATTGCAGATCATGTGGTCCTGTTGGCATCATCAGAACGTGATCTCCGGCTCTCACTGTAGCGGTCTGCAGCTGAGTGGTTTTGAATTGGAAAAGGGTAGAATGCCTTCTCCAGGTCAGGGACGAGATCCTCTCTCATGTGGAGGAGTTTAAGTTTCGGGGTCTTGTTCACAAGTGAGGGAAAGATGGAGCACGAGATCGACAGGTGGATTGGTGCTGCGTCTGCAGTGATGCGGGCGTTGTACCGGTCTATCCTGGTGAAGAGAGAGCTGAGCCAGAAGGTGAAGCTCTCAGTTTACCGGTCACGAGCTTTGGGTAGTGACCGAAAGAACGAGATTGCGGATACAAGCGGCCAAAATGGATTTTTTTCCGCAGATTGGCTGGCCTCTCTTTTGCAGATAGGGTGAGAAGCTCAGTCATCCGACAGGGGCTCAGAGTAGACCAGCTGCTCCTCCACATCAAGAGGAGCCAGTTGAAGTGGCTCGGGCATCTACTCAGGATGCCTCCCTGGTGAGGTTTTCTGGGCACGTCCAACCGGGAGAAGACCTAAAGGTAGGGATGGGTACCGAATTCGGTACTTTTTAAGGTACCGACCGAATTCCATAGTACCAACCGAGCACCGATTCACGTCATTTCAAACGGTGCCTCGTTTCGGTACCCGTCCTTCATAACGAGAACTTGCCTAGGCAGCTGCACATGCGCAAGAGCGTTATATCGTCGCTCACTGCGAGCGAGTTGTAAACAGAGCAGCACGGTAGAAAGAACGCACGCTAAAGCTTGGGTCCACTTCACTAAATGTGATGGGTAACTGGGTGATGATGAAACCAGCGACAACGATCTAAGTGAGACATCCTCATCTTAATCTACTCCGGTAGGTAAATAAAATGTTTAAGATAACGTTAGCTTGATATGTTAGCTTCTGTTTCGCTAATGGTGCGTTCGCTTTCTCCTCGGAACTCCGAATTTCTGACTAAAAGAACATGAACGCGCTCTAAAGTTTGGCTTCACTTTACTAAATGCGACGGGTGATTGGGTGAAGACGAAACCAGTGACAACGATTTAAGTGTGAGGAATCATCGTTTTAATCTGCTCCAGCAGTTAAATAAACTATTTAAGATAACGTTAGCTTGATATGTTAGCTTCCTATGCCACCATTGTTATCAGCTAATGGTGCGTTTGCTTTCTCCTCGGAAATTCTAACTTCCCAGTAGGAAAAATCAAATAAAAAAAAACGGCAAAAGGAATGAAGATACACAGTAAATTTAGTTCACAGTAAAGATGTTTGCTTCAGTTTAATTATCAGCTTATAAAACTACAAGGACGATGTTAAAATACAAACAGTTGAATGCTATTTATCGTGATATTTATCAAATATTGTTATATATTGAGAAAAATACATATTTTATTATAAAAGAGAATTAAAATAATAAACACTCAAAAGTATCGAAAATTGGTACCGTTAAGTACCGGTATCGATTCCTAGGTACCGGGAATTAGTACCGAATCGATTCAAATGTCAAAGGTACCCATCCCTACCTAAAGGAAGACCCAGGGTTAGGGTTAGGGTTAGGACTTGCTAGAGGAACTATGTTCCTCAGCTGCCCAGTGAACTCCTTGGGATTTCCCCAGAGGAGCTGGTCCAAGTGGCTGAGGAGAGGGAAGTCTGGGCCTCCCTGCCTAAGCTGCTGCTCTGTGACACAACCCCAGATAAGCAGAGGAAAATGAATGGATGGATGGAGTATCTACATGTGTTTTGAACTAATACTTGAATGTTACAGAAAGGTTTATTTTATACATTTCTTGTCCTGATTGTGCCTGGACATTTTAGGATAGACATTATTGATGAGAAAGGTCGTGTTGGTTTATAATTTATTGGTTGGTAAAAAAAAATTCACAGAGAAACAACTCAACTCTCCCACCTGCGGACAAAAATCAGTGCCTGCAGTCTCCTTCAAATATGAACTGTGGTTAGTAAGGATTTGCCTAAAATAATCAGACTTTTTGTTGAATGCTATGGGTTTTTTTTCCCATCGATCATGCAGCACAAGGAGGCATGTGTGCAGGTGATGTGTGTTGGCTTTACCTGTGTCTGGTTTGTACTCAGGAAGTCTTTTCCCCCAGATAAAAGAAGGAGCCTTGTCCACCAGTTTTGTTTGGTTGTACTCTGTGTCGAATGTGAATAAAACCTTGTACTGAGGATGAAATGGGTGAAAGAAATGAATAGTTTGACATCAAAAAACATTTTTTTAAACCAACAACAAATTACCTCATTGCCTGTTGTGGTGTAAATAACTGACAGATTAGCGTCTCTGTCTCCGTGAACATCCAGTTTATAATCCCCTGCAGTACCTGAGCAAAAGCATATAATAATTAAATAAACTTTAATTGAGTCTGAGAATCCAATTGAACTTCCCTATAAGACCAATAACTCAGGGAGCGATGCAGCTGTCAGGCTATACCCCCACATCTCCTTAGGAATAAGCGACAGCCTCACTGCTGTCAGCACACACGGCTGACATCCGACTTTTGAGAAGGCTTGGGCAATTATTCCATCTGCATGAAGTTTTAGCTCCAAGCGTGCACCTTAAGAGCATTTCATCTACTCTGTCCTTAACTCGGTGTATAAAAATGTGACCACTTTCATATTATGTTTGATTAAATCCTGACAGGCTCACTACAACGTGTTCCTGCTCTCTTTCTCCACCCTTACCGTTAAACGAAGTGTTCCTGAAGTAATTCACATTCACAAAGTCCATTTGTTGAATCTCGGTCTGGTTTTTTGCAGCTATTTCTCGCATCACTTGACCAATATGCAGCACTGAGTCATGGTACGCAGCCATGTAGTCGTTCATCTGCAACGACAGACTCACATAACTGGAGGTACTTCTTCAGTAAACCTTGGAAATGTTTAAGCCATGTTCTTTAGATTAAAGGAGGGCAGCTTCTGTTGTTTTTAGGAATTGTGCAAAAGCATCAATCTCCTTAAACAGCCAAAAAACGCAAAAATAACAAAACTCAAATCAGGGTTCCACTAAAACACCAATAAATATAATTTTTCCTTTGAAACAATGAGGCTCAAATAGGATTTATGTCCTGCATCCTCACCGTGTTGTTGTCAGTGAGGTCGGAGTTGATGGTATACTTTCTGCTGTTTGGCATGGTCAGCACCAACACGTTCTTCATCTCTTGCAGTGACGACATGTTGGTGTAGTAAACATCACTGTGCAGAGGGAAGACAGAACATAAGGCTTTTAAATCCTGCATGCAATTAAAAACTGATAATAATTAGGGCTGCACGATATAAGGAAAGCCTACAATATTCAATAACAATGATTAATATTGCGATGACGATATTACTTGCGATAAATAAAAACTTCACTCAGGAACAAAAATAATCAAAAACAAATAAATTCAAAAAATCATTAAAATGAGAAAAGCAAAAGATGTGAGGAAAGGGAAAAAGAAAATGAACAAAAAAGGCCATCAGTGGATCCCGGGAAAAGTTGAATCAGCAAAAAGAGCAGAACAAAGCTAACTCAGGTGTTTGCTAACCATCAAAATTAAGTGTCGTCCGCCTCGGGGCGGGCATCTAACCTATGAGAACCCACCCATTTGGCCAAATGGGTGAAGAGCTCTATTTGATTTGTTTAAAAAAAACATAATACTTCTGTTTGACTGACAGAATGCATTATGTGTAGCAAACATTTGAGCTGACTATTCATTGCGATATTTATCTGTTCTTGCAAAATGCATATTGTGCATGCTGATATTACAATAACGATATATTTACGATATATTATGCAGCCCTAATAATAATGAATCAGACAATGTCAGCTCACCTACCAGGTCTTAAATTTGAGCAACCATAGAGTCTATGTCCAACCCCTAACCCTTTCTGTCTGCATTCCCATCAGTAAGATGTCTCAAAAACAACTGAGTGGATTTGAATTAAAGTCTTTGAAAGTTTTAGTTGGAGATGTATCTACCACTGATTAACTTTAGGAGTGAACCTAATTAAAGATGGCTACCACAGCTAGCTGACACATGAAACACAAACATGATTTACACAGATGTCAATATAGTATTACATGACTAGTTTCTCAAAGATATTCTAGCTGGACGTGATCCCCAGAAATTCCATGTTTACCTGCTGTTGGTGATGTTAATGCTTGCAGATAGTATTTAAAAGGGACATATCATGTAAATCTAATTTGTTGCATGCTTTTGTGCTGCCATGTGGGTCTGTACTGCCTCTACAAACACTCCAAATGTGAAAAAACAGTCATAAGTGTTTTTGTCAGTGTTTGATTTGATGAATTATCTGTTTAAATGAACATTTCCCTGGACCTGAAGTCATAATAAGAACAATTAGCTGAGAGCTACGCCTAACCTATCGAAGTTTCCTTGAAGAATAAAGAAAATATTAACGAAAAGAATAAAATAATTAAGCTCCTCTCCATCTTTTCTGCATCAGACTCAGGGCTGAACATATTAGTTTGGAGATCGTCTGTTTTGTTCCTTTTTCACATTAAAAAAAACGACCAGCCTATCAGGAGTGGGTGGGCGTGGCCAGCAACAGCTTATTTTTCTTGAAGTGACAGAGACACGAAATGCCTCATTCTGGAAGATACTGAAAATGTCGAGAATAAACCGTGAGAGGGACTTTTTGCAAAGATCTCCATATACGTACTTTTAAAACCATGGACTTTTAAAACTAAGTCATAATATGTCTTCTTTAAATTCCCTTTCATAATTGTGATGAACTCCCTGTAAAAAATCCTTGTGAAACTAAACTAATGGTGGTGTAAATCAATAGAATATGATCACGATACTAAAAAAAAGTTGGAGCTCGGCAGGTCAAGACTAGCCATTAGCTTATCAGTCCCAAAGAAAATGCACACATTTCTGAAAACTGAGAATGTAGCTTGAAAAAGCAGAGAAGCACCTTATCATGCAGTCCATTTCAGCACTAACAACAGAAAGAACCAAATATTCTTAGGTATACAACAACTAGAAGCTGCAGATGAGCTGACTGACTTGTAAAGATCAATGAGGACGAAGAGAAACTCGCTGCTGTCTGCTGATTTAGAGCCGTTCTTCACCTCCAGTAAGTCAGTTGGTGAGCCACACATGATGAACACTGCAAACACAATAGATTCATATAACAACAGAATCATTATCAGGGGAAATCTCAGCCTGGAGGGGAATACAAAGGAAGTTAATCCTGATTTCCATTTATAAAGTTCATTTTTCAACCTTGAAAGTCGATTAATACCAAATGAATTACTGCTGCCTCTCGGGAAACAAAAGAGTTGGCTTGTGACGATTACACGCAACATTTTGAAGGTTGAAACCTGTAATTACCACCATCTGAGAGTAAAGGTTTACCAAGTACTGCTGTGTGTTTAGTCCCAGATGAAACCTTGTCATGCCAGAGTGTTCCTCGCAATAAACCTCCTGTGTGAGTGCTGAGAAGCTGGTGTGTACTCACAGTTGCTCGTCCTGTTTTTCTGTGGTGAGAGGATGTCTCTCACATCTTCAGGTTTCCACAGCAACGTTCGACTTATGTTGGTGGCAAACTTTCCATCTGCATCCAAAGCACTCATATACCTGAGGACAAGAAGCTCATCACAACAGGATCGCCATGTTTGGCTGAGGTGAACTACATTATTCAACTCTCCTCATCAGAGTGGGTTTTTGTGAAAAGGATATGAACAGTCTCAGTTTGGTGAAACAGAGAGATGTTCTGAACAAATGGAGAGTGGGGCTAGGTACAAAGTGTCTGCTGCTCCAACCCTTCACAGCCTGATAACAAATGAGGAAAACACTTTTTTTCTCAAATGACTGGTGTGCTCTGTCAATTAAACAGTTGTGTAATAACCAGAGGTGTAACCAAGTCACTGCTTTGCAAGTCACAAGTAAGTCACAAGTCTTTCCAGTCAAGTCTCGAGTCAAGTCCAAGTCAAAGACAACCAAGTCCAAGTCGAGTCCAAAGTCAATGATGTGGAAGTCCAAGTCAAGTCCAAGTCCTTAACTTTGAATTTTCAAGTCATAATCAAGTCATCTATCCAACTTCAATTTAATGACAGTGATGATAAATAAATTCCAGAAATAAAGCTTCTTAAAGCTTCATTTGTTTGCTCAAACAAGCAGGAAGTGCAACTGAAACTGATCATAAACGAAGTGCTGCTGCAGTTAGCAGAACAAGATCAAACCCAGAACCAAGAATGATTTATGATTTTTTGTCCATGTCGCGCCACTTTTGTGCTAAAATATCAAATGTGCTCAAGTCATCATCGAGTCAACAGATGCAAGTTGAGTCAAGTCGTAAGTCTATAGATTTTATCAAGTCAAGTCAGAAGTCATTAAAATAATGACTCGAGTCTGACTCGAGTCCAAGTCATGTAACTCAAGTCCACACCTCATGTAATAACACATTCTACGGTTGATGTCACCACACAAAGTGCTGCTGGATGCTTGTGCTAGACAAAAAAACTTGGACGTCGATAGGGTTAGGGCACTAATTTTTCCCCACCTGTGGTCAAAAGCCTTTGTCGTCCTTGTTTGGATGCTGTTGGAGACGTTCAGCTGGACCTTTTCGTTTCCACTGCTGCCTCCAGGAAAGTGCCACATCTTAGAGCGTTGCTAGTATTGGCCCGTCCTTCTCATACGTAAGATCTTTCCCTCCGGTAAAACGTGGAACAAATATATGCGCGCCTCTTGATCTGCTCCACGTTGTGAAAATCAGCTCTTCCACATCAAAACTGCCACCCCTTTGCGTTTTCTGTCTTTCCCATGACCCGTTTCCCTTTACAGCTGTTTCATTTGGACCTTACCCGGCTTGAAGCATAAATTATACAAAACTCACTTGAAAAAAAATTGTCCATACGTTTTCTGTCAGATTTTAGTTTTAGGAACCATATGTTAGTAAAATGTCCCCCACTGAGACATCACACTCTGTCCCCATCATTTAAATGACACAAAAGAACATTCAAATGAACTAATATAGTGATTTTGAATTCACATGCAAAGCAAAAGTTTTGCTTCATAACTTTCTTTAACACATTTTGTTAAAATAACTTGTGTGACAAATACTCCACTCTCCTAGGGGAAGACTAAATCAAGAATAAAAACCCAAAGTTGTAGTTTTCTTTGAAAATGAGCTATGCAAGTTGACCAATGCACACATTCAGGCTAAACTCTAATGGAGAAATGTTTGTGTGATGGAAAATTTAAAAAATATTTAAGATTGTGCTTTTAAATCTGTAGCATTGGACATTCTTGTCAACCAGGAAGTAAATCCGGCTCCATGTAGGAATGATTTGTCCAGTCCTACTCTGCTCTTGTTAAATCCCATCAGCAGGGAACTCACCTCAACAGCTTCACTGAAACTAATCTATCAATGCTTGAGTGACTTGTCAGGTTCACTCACCAATAACAGTCCTCTGTGTTGCTCGGTTTTTTATAGACGTAGGCTGTTTTCCATTCGGGTTTGATGGTGTTTTTCTCCTTCCAGAAATGGATGAAAAAGTCTGAGATCTTGCGCGCTGGTGGCAGCAGCCTCTGCAGGTTGAGCGTGTAGTCACACGATGGACCGAAGCTTCCTGCTGACATGATGGGCGTACTGAGGCCAAGGCCTTTCTCTAAACTGACAGGAGACAAAGGATGTCACAGAGAAAGAGAAGTGGTCATTTATTTGGAAAGGTGAACAAATCTCATAATTTCACTAGAATGTGCTTTTTGGGGGGCCACTTACTCAACTATTGAGAAAGTAGCTAAGGTGCAGGTTGGCCCGAGCACGGCACATCCGAGCTCATCTGAACCCTGTAAAAGAAGACAGCTGAGTGGGTTTGTGTTGGTGTGGAGCCTCAGCTGTGGCTCACGTCTCTCTTCTAGATGCTTCCTGATAAAAACCTGAGAGTGGTGGCTTCACCAGGGAATTTTCATAGGAGGTTCAAATAGGGCCAGTGAAAATTTTAAGGTGGCACAACAACTTGGTCCCTGTGGCCTTTAGTTGTGCATTGAATTGTTCCTTAATTATTTGTCTTTAAAATCTAATAGCTTTGATATCACGTGGACACCAGGGGGCATTTCCACTGGATTGGCAGACTGGGGTGATGGTCCCCCTATTTAAAAAGAGGGATAAGAGGGTGTGTTCCAACTCCAGGGGGATCACACTCCTGAGCCTCCATGGTAAGGTCTATTCAAAGGTTATGGAGAGGAGGGTCCGGCAGATTGTCGAACCTCAAATTCAGGAAGAACAATGTGGTTTTCGTCCTGGCCGTGGAACACTGGACCAGCTCTATGCCCTTAGGGGGGTCCTGGAGGGTGCGTGGGAGTGCGCCCAACCAATCTATGTGTGTTTTGTGGATTTGGAGAAGGCGTTCGACCGTATCCCTCTGGGGGCCCTGTGGGGGGTACCCCCCCCCCCCCCCCCACACACACACACACACACAGGGCCCCTGGGGGGTATGGGGTACCAGATCCTTTGATACGGGCTGTTAGGTCCCTGTATGACCGGTGTCAGAGCTTGGTCTACATTGCCGGCAGTAAGTTGGGCTCATTTCCGGTGAGAGTTGAACTCCGCCAAGGCTGCCCTTTATTACTAATTCTGTTCATAACTTTTATGGACAGGATTTCTAGGTGCAGCCAAGGTGGTGAGGGGATCTGTTTTGGTGGACTGAGGATAGGGTTTTGTGAAGAGAGAGCTGAGCCGGAATGCAAAGCTCTCGATTTACCGATCGAGCTACGTTCCACCGTCACCTATGGTCATGAGCTTTGGGTAGTGACCGAAAGAACGAGATCGCGGATACAAGTGGCCAAAATGAGTTTTCTTCGCAGGGTGTCTGGGCTCTCCCTTAGAGATAGGGTGAGAAGCTCGGTCATCCGGGAGGGGCTCGGAGTAGATCCGCTGCATCGAGAGGAGCCAGTTGAGGTGGCTCGGGCATCTGGTCAGGATGCCTCGTGACGCCCCCCTGGTGAGGTTTTCTGGGCACGTCCAACCAGGAAACCCAAAGGAAGACCCAGGACATGCTAGAGGGATTATGTCTCTCGGCTGCCCCAGAGGAGCTGGCCCGAGTGGCTGGGGAGAGGGAAGTTTGGGCCTCCCTGCATAGATTGCTGCCCTCTCGACCCGACCCTGGTTAAGCAGCTGAAAATAGATGGATGGCAACCTCTGATGCAAATTTGGGGTCAATAGCCCACTTAGAAATACCCTCACTGATAGAAATGCTGACATGTCAAATATTGATATATATTCACACATCATACTCCGTATCATCACTGCATTATTTTAGGTTCATTTTAATTACTCATTCGAACAAATTTCCCTACACTGAACTTAGTTAGAATTTAATTTTTAAATGTAACTTCTCTAATTCATTAAATAATTTTTGTTTTGCTTTTGTAATAATTTATTCTCTTGTTCTTGAGTAAAATAAAGAAGCAGGCTAAATCGTCACATCTCTGAACTCCTGAGTTCATACACACACACTGGTGCTCTTAATGTTTCGAATGGAATTGGCTCAAGTATTAAGTGAAGATTTGCACGAACAAGATGTTTTAACTCACGGAGGCTGTAGTTTTCCTGTTGTATGAGCAGAGTAAGGAAGGAATCAGCTTGTAATGAGCATGCTCATTTTTTGCCAAACTAGCGGTGCAAAGCAGTTAAGGAAACGCATATCAAAGCTGCAGAACTGTGGAGAATATTGACTGAATCAGTACGTGTGCAGTGGACCAAGTAGGAATCAATTCCTTATAAATTGTATAGGGCAGAAGAATCAACATGGAGAAGTCAGCTGGAGAAGAGAGGACCAGATCACGGCAGGATTATTAACAAAACAAAACACCACTCGAATTCAGATCAGGGGGGCCGTTCCTCCCAATCACACCTCTCCAGGTCTCGCTGTCATTGCCCATTTGAGCGTTAAAGTCCCCCAGCAGAACGAGAGAGTCACTGGAAAGAGCGCTTTCCAGCACCCCCTCCAAGGTCTCCAAAAAGGGTGGGTAGTTTGAACTGTAGTTTGGTGCAGAAGCACAGACCACAGTCAGAACCCGTCCCCCCACACGTAGGCGGAGGGAGGCTACCCTCTCATTCACTGGGGTAAACCCCAAAGTACAGGCGCCAAGATGGGGGCAACTAGTATGCCCACCCCTGATCGACACCTCTCAGTAGGAACAACTCCAGAGTGGTAGAAAGTCCAACCCCTCGCAAGGAAACTGGTTCCAGAGCCAGAGCCATGTGTTGAGGTGAGTCCGACTATATCTAGTTGGAACCTCTCAACCACACACACCAACTCCGGCTCCTTCCCCACCAGAGAGGCGACATTCCATGTGCCAAGAGCCAGCTTCTGTAGCCGAGGATCAGACCGCCAAGGTCCCCGCCCTCGACTACCATTAGGCCTATAAATGTAATTTTACTCAGTAACTGACATGATGGAAAATGTAGCAAAATATTATAAATAAAAACATCCTCTAAAAGTACAGACTTTAAAAAAACTTAAAAAGTATAAATACCGAATGAAATACTCAACAGCATAGTAACAGTAACACAAGTAAATGTAATCCATTGCTTTCCACCTCTGCCAGGAACCCTAGGGTGCTCGCAGGCCTGTTCTAAATAGATCACAACTTACAACAAAGCAATGTTTTAAATAACATTTTGTCTATTGTCATCTTTTTAATCACAATTATTTAATTGATAAATACAATATTGTTTTAAAAAGTATTGAAATATGATTATTATAGATGAAGTGTAGTTTAGTTGACTCTGTAGTTCAAAGGTCAAACTTCCTGTTTTCAACTTTGTGTAGCCTTGAGCTCATCAATCTGATTATAACTCATTTCTACTGTCTTTTATTGTTATTTATTCTTATAAAAATCTGGGTTCGGATGTAAATCTTGCTTCTGATGTGTGTGTTGAACCTGCAGAGACTCACCATCAGCTTGTCAATCTTCTCCACTCCCTCACAGACAGTGCTGCTGCAGCCTTTCTGTTTGTACACAGTGGTGTTAAATCCCTCAAAGGTGGCAGTCAGGTTAAATCCCACTCCTTTATGATGGAGAAAAAAGTCATTATTGCGCTGATCAGATTAAATCTGAACATTTAGAGTACATACCTCTATTTATTTTAGTTTGTGTTTTTAAAGAATGAATATATGGAACTGAAAAAATCATAAAATTGTGGCGGATCTAGAAACGTTAACATTGGGGTATGATCCCCTTTAAGTAAATGGAGTCCACCAAATCTCCCCAAAAACTATTTACTGTGTCATTATGTCTTTTAAATAAAATTGGTTGAATTTTTTTTTTCCTGCAACATAAATATAGAACAACAAAAATTAAAAGCTGTAATTGTTGTATGGGAATCATTCCAGCCATCAGCTTGTGGAGAGCTTAAGACATAATTGAAGGACCCAAAATCATCTGAGAAAGAAAATCGGTGGGATAGAAATAAAAAAAGAATTTAAAAGTGTGCGTATATATATATATATATATATATATATATATATATATATATATATATATATATATATATGAAGCATCTTGATGTGATTGTGGTTTTGGAGAAGGCGTTCGACCGCGTCCCTTGGGGGGCCATGGGGCATCGGGAGTATGGGGTACCAGGCCCTCTGATACAGGCTGTTGGGTCCCTGTATGACCGGTGTCAGAGCTTGGTCTGCATTGCCGGCAGTAGGTTGAGCTCATTCCTGTTGAGAGTTGGACTCCATCAAGGCTGCCCTTTGTCACGATTCTGTTAGACTTTTATGGACAGGATTTCTAGGCGCACACAAGGCGTTGAGGTGACCTGTTTGGTGGCCTAAGGATTGAGTCTCTGCTTTTTGCAGATGATGTGGTCCTGTTGCCATCATCAGAACGTGATCACCGGCTCTCACTGGAGCTGTGAGCACGTTGAGAGGAGCCAGTTGAGCTGAGTGTGAAACAGCTGGAAAGAGAATCAGCTCCTCTAAATCCAAGACCATAGTCTTGAGTTGGAAAATGGTAGAATGCCTTCTCCGGTTCAGCGAAGAGGTTCTGCACCAAGTGGAGGGGTTTAAGTATCTCGGGGTCTTGTTTACAAGCGAGGGAAAAATGGAACGTGAGATCAACAGGCGGATTGGTGCTGCGTCTGCAGTGATGCGGGCCTTGTACCGGTCTGTCGTGGTGAAGAGATTGCAGAGCTGAAAGGCGAAGCTCTCGATGTACCTGTTGATCTACGTTCCTACCCTCACCTGTGGTCATGAGCTTTGGGTAGTGACCAAAAGATGAGATCACAGATACAAGCGACCGAAACGAGTTTTCTCCACAGGGTGTCTGGGCTCTCCCTTAGAAATGGGGTGAGAAGATTGGTCATATGGGACCTGATGCTGCTCTATGTTGAGAGGAGCCAGTTGAGGTGACTCGGGCATCTAATTAGGATGCCTCCTGGATGCCTCTCTGGTGAGGTTTTCCGGGCATGTCCCACCAGGAGGAGACCCAAAGGAAGACCTAGGACATGCTGGAAAGACCATGTTCCTGAGCTGACAAAGGAACGCCTTGGGATTCCCCCGGAGGAGCTGGCCCAAGTGGCTGGAGAAAGGGAAGTCTGGGTCTCTCTGCTTAGGGTGCTGCCCTCGCGACCCAACCCCGGATAAGCGGACGATAATGGATGGATGGTTGGATGGATTCAGAAAATTGATATCTCAAAGTGAATGACAGGGAAAAAATATTATATTAAATTAAATATTTATTGCCTTGGTTTGATAACATTTTGTCATCTGTAATTTAACAGCAAGTATTATAAGGCTTAGCTCAGCAGATTATGCTTAAAAATACAGAACAACACTAAAGATTGAGCTTAGAGGGAATAAAGTGTTATTAAAAACCATCATCTTTGTGCGTGAGAGTTTCCAAGATTTTAACTGTTCTATTTAGAACATCAGAAAAAAATAATAATAATTTTACCTTCTGCTGCATTAATGGCTGTATCTTCCTTGATTGCTTCCCGGATTTCTTTCTCCACATACTTGAGGCTCCATGGAGACTCCTCATCCTCCAGCAGGATCACGTTGATCGTGACCCCATCCACACACCGTCTGAAGGCTCCACAGGAAGCCGCGAGAATCCCAACAAAGCTCAAAACCAGCCACCAGCTGCCTCGGATCATTGTCACCTCTCAGGTCAGTTTATGTTTTTTAGGCGGCTAAGAAGAGTCCATCGTATGGAGAGTCGGAGCTCGATGCAGGAAGAAAATCTACTCTGATCAGCTGAAGGGGTACCTTAACATAAAACCAACTCCTTTTCCTCTTTCAGTCGTCGGCTGCTCAGACTCACACTTCCTCTGTTACTCTAATCTGTCCTTTCCCCACCAGCGTGTTAATATACAACCTTTAGAGGCACACGGGCAGGGTGTATAACCTCCTCAGTGTTATTGTGATAAAGGTGTGTGTGAATTACAAGCGTAAAAACACATTGATCACATTTAATGGCCTCAGATCTCTCAGCAACAAGGTGATTTTCCGCCTCAGGCAGGTTCAGAGGATCGTTAGAGTCTGAGTCATCATGTCTCAGCGTTTGTGTTTGCAGCGAGACATGCGGGATCACCAATAATGTGCTGAAGGAGTTATGTGTTTTTGTTGTCATTCCTTTATGTAAAAGTATCCTTACAGAGTAAATAACTAAGATTGTAAAGAAACAACGTGTTAACAAATAAGTTCTTTGTTTTGTTTAATTTACTTCCTGGTAATAAAAACTGAGTGTGGCTTTAATGTCACTTCTTCCACCAGACTTATTTAGTAAATTATATCTTTATATATAAATGTAAAAACTTAAATCCAAGTTTATATTTATATATTTTTTATTAGTAATTTCATTTTCTAAATTAAATTTATATTATATTACAGTGTTTAAATATTCCTATTTTTAATATTTATGTATAATACGGTTTGAATTCACAACTCCACATAGGCCTCTCAGTGAGTAACATCTAAGTATGTAACAGTCTAGCTAAATGTACATAATAAGAAAATTATTTAATTAGACCTAAATGTTATGAATAAGTCAATGCATATAAAACTATGTTTAAATATTTACAATCACCTCTAAAGATGGTAAATGGTCTGTATTTCTATAGCGCTTTGTCAGTGTTCTACGTCCCCCCAAGGCACTTAACAACACAATTAGTCATTCATCCATTCACACACACATTCATACGCTGGTGATGATGAGCTACGATGTAGCCACAGCTGCCCTGGGGCGCACTGACAGAGGCAAGACCTGCAGAGCAGAGGCGTCACCGGCTCCTCCGACCACCAGCAGGCAAGGCAGGTTAAGGGTCTTGCCCAAGGACACAACAGCAGCATTCTCTGGTGGGAGCCAGGATTGAACCTGCAACTTTCCGATTACTGGACAACCTGCTCTACCTCCTGAGCTACTGAAGAAAGTTCATGTTCAAATGCTATCTTTAGATGCCACTTTACATTTGGACCTGACTCAAAACATTTACATTTAGCTTAATCTTTTTAAGATCTAATTATTCATGTTTAGCTTTATATGTAAAAAAAATTGTAATATTTAGCTTTTAATATTTAAATTTCATTTTATTATTTAAAAATATGATGCAGACTGTTTAAACATCAAGTCTACATTTAGTTTAATTATAGAAAAAAAATAAATAAATCAATAAGTAAGTCACAGATTAAATTACACGAGGACCTAAGTGTCATATTAAATGTCTTTTTAGCAACATAAAGTGAACCTACAGCTTTGACTTGGAAACTAGTTTCCTGGTTGGCTGTTTAGTAAAGTGACACACTAACCAGAGGTCAGCCTGCAGCTTCAACATGCTATAATTACAAGTGTGGCCCTGGTTCAAAGCAGCTGGAGAGTCCAGATGATTTAATGGTACCAATATGTTCTCATGTCAAACGTTCTGCCATGGCAACAGGGTAGTTGTTCATTTTGATCAAGGTAAACGATGCAGGAAAATGCTATGCAGGAAGTTTCCGTTATGAATTAATTGGTGGAAACAGTAATTTGTAAATTTTTTCTTTGTAAAAAATACATAATTTTACTGTAAAGCAGTCTTGCATCATTTTAACAGAACATTTCCTTGAAGTTTATAACCGTAAAACACTATGATTTTGACATTTATTTTTATTGCTGGTGATGGTGAAAGGAGTTTACTTCCTGTTTCCCAGTGTGCTTAGCGGCATATAGGTGAGATCTGGCTGAACCGTGTCTGTTCTTGACCTGACTCGTGAATGCATGTGAAGGCTGTGCCGCTGTTCATTACTGACTCAACACTTTTGACTGCTAAAATGTTTACACAAGCGCAGTGGAAAGACATGAACAGCAGTTAAGCAGGCAAAGTAATTATAGCCGTTTTTTACCTTAATAGCATTTAATCGGTTCTTTATTTCTATGAATTGATTATATGTATTGAGAAAACCCTTTGAATTTAGCTTTTAGTGGGGAAAAATGTTTTTAGTGACACAATTTCCATTTTATGGATTATTTTCATGTTCATTTTACGGTAAAACAATTAGGTTTTTCACGTGAAAACATTATTTTCTGCAGTGAAATAATGACTTCAGTACAATTTTTAACCATAATCAACAATAAAAATACCTTCTTACCGTAAAAGAAAAAACTTTTGCCCGCTATTTTACGGTACCATTCCGGCACCGGCGTTTTACCGTAAAATCTATGTTTTTTTTTCTTTACAGTGCAGCTGGACTCCAATGAAGATGTAGGACCATCTCGGATGACCAGAAGAAATGGAAAGCACCCGAGTTAAATATATGAGGGTCACAGCAAAGGGTCTGAATACTTAGGACCATGTGATATTTCAGTTTGGCTTTTTTAATAAACCTGCAGAAATGTATAAACTTCTATGTTTTTTCTGTTAACATGGGGTGCTGTGTGAACATTAATGAGAAAAAAAGTATCAATTTAATTGATTTTAGCTAATAGCTGCAATATAACAAAGCAAAAAATTGACGGGGGTCTGAATACTTTCCGTACCCACTGTAACTGTGTGCGAAAGGCGCTCTATAAATAAATGTTACTACTTACTTACTTAATGTTGTTAAGGTGCAATTAAGTCCCTCTTTAGATTTATTGTACCTAACTAGTGAACACTGGCACAAGATCTTGTGTTTTCTTTCCTCCTGATTTTTTAATTATTTCTACTACGGTGCTCACATGGTGCTCTCATAAGTATGGACTTGGGCACGTTCAACACAGGTCTTAAGGCTATGGTGGGCACTTAATGCACTGTGATTTATTATCGTGTGATTGTTCAGTTAAACAATGTTGATTATATATTTCTTCATCAAGTTGACGCAGTGATAGCTTGATCTTGTTGTATTGTTGTTGTGTCCCTTTTTTTTGCTTTTTTTTCTTGTCTCTTTCTGCAGGTCTAGAAGCAGACTCTTGTTCATTATTGTTTATTTTCGTGGGAAACCCCCCCCCCCCGCTCCCCCCCCATTCCCCCCTCTCTCTCCACCTTTTGTCTTTTCCTTTCTCTTTCACCTCTGTCTCCGTGTCTGATCGGAATTACAAAGCATTCAAAAACAATAACAATAAAGTTTTAAGTATCAGGCGTGACATTAAAAGCAGACGCTTTGATGCTCCACCTGAAAGTAAATCTGTAAGGCTTGTTACCAGCATTTAGACATTAATTCTGTTTGCTTCACAGCCAGACAGGACACGGGGGGAAATAAATAAATAATAAAATAAATAAATTATTTCTACTTTATAATAAATTATTCTTAACTGTTTTCATGATTAGTTGTGACCACTGGAATCGGGTCAAGCTGTGGCGCAGAATACCACCCGCTGAGTCGAACTTCAGGGGTTCTAAACTGGGTTTATGGTTCTTCTTCAAACAAACAAGCATATTTCAGTCACCTTAACAAGAATTACAGCCACAAAGAAAATAAAGAAGGGTAGAGGTCAGGAGAATTCAGATTTACAGCGTCACATGGCACACAACGCCAGCTTGTATGATAAATTGTTCCAATTAAAGTTCATTAAATGTCAAAATAACAGATTTAGAGTTGAAAATCTTAGGACATGTAAAACTCTTACTCTTACTGCTAAGGAGGAAAGATTTTTTATGACAAATGATTCAAAAGCAGGGTTTTCATAAGCAGAAATACTGAGAAGAGATGCAGAGATGAACCTGCAGCATTACTAAACACATACAGACTAAAAATTGGTTGTTTTTTTTTAACTAAATCCTGGACAAAAATCAAAACTAAATGTGAAAAATAAAGTTCTAAGAGTATAAAATGAATGTATAACAAGGCAACAAACAAGAAATAATTCTGTTAAAGAAAACCAGCCCTACATGTTGCAAATTTTATTTATTTTTGACAAGTGCTGCCTTTTTTGCACCTTTGTTTTTGGGTTTTGCCCAGGATTTCGTTTGAACTCAAAACACCATCCTTTTTTCCATTAAAAAGAAAAGATAATTGTGTGTTTTTATTCTTGCAGTGGAAAGCCAGAGATGGTCAGAAAACCAACAGGCTAATTCATTTCTCCACGACACCTGAAATAGCAAAGAAGGACAGAAACAAAGGTTGATAGGGAAATAAAACCTCTCACAGGTATCCTCCGTCTGCTGTGAAGCTCAGAATATTTCATCTCTAAATCCACATTCAGCAAAAAAAAAAAAAAATTAAAACAAGTGTTGGGGAAGACTGGAGTAAATAAATATTCATACAGGTCAGATAAATTAGTTATTTCACTGTTTTAGACAAAAATTTCTCTATTATCAAACCACTTTATAATTTTATTCTGACTGTTATCTAACTCTGGTGTTAAAATCTAGTTAATCACAGGTAAATCAAGATTTAATATGGGCTGAAATTACCTTAACACACAGGGACAGATTGGTTAGGAAAGCTTCTAATACTTGATAAATGAGATTATTGTTTTAAAATGGGTTTTATGCTCGGGCATCTGGTTAGGATGCCTCCTGGACGCCTCCCTGGTGAGGTTTTCCAGGCTTGTCCAACCAGGAGGAGACCTAAAGGAAGACCCAGGACATGCTGGAGGGACTATGTCTTTCAGCTGGCCAGGGAACACCTTGAGATTCCCCCTGAGGAGCTGGCCCAAGTGGCTGGGGAGAGGGAAGTCTGGGCCTCTCTGCTTAGGCTGCAGCCCCCGCAACCTGACCTCGGATAAGGGGAGGATAATGAAAGGATGGATGGATGATTTTGTATTTATTCAGGTTATCTTTTTCTGATGTGCTTGCTGATCTGAAGCACACATAAATAGAAGAAAGCTGTAAGAGTAAATTATTTTTCACAGCACTGAATACCCCATAGATTCAGCCAAGTCTCTTTATCCCCATTAGCCACTTCATTAATGAAAAACTGAAATTTTGTTTAGTTTTCAAGTCAAGTCCTCTCATTTAAAGGGGACAAAGAATGCAGTTTATCAACAATCTAAAACTCTGCTTTGAACCTCTAAAAAGAAAATTTCTTATGATACGAAATTTTCTTTCGGCTTTCATCTGTCCCAGGAGGCCTGATACAGGCCATTCTGAACCCCTAAATCAGCCTTGCTGTGAAAAGAGCTGTTTACCCCTCCCACTTGGCCAGGACATGAATATGGTAATGAGCTGTTTGCTGATTGGTTGGTTTAAACCAGAAGGCCTCAGACACTGGAGACTGCAGATTGGAGAAGTAAGGGCTCCTCATAGGGAGCCTAAAAGCCCTTTTCAGATTGACATTCTGGAATATGTGTGGACAATTCAGTCCGGTTTTTAACCGGAACTGTGTTTTCAGACACACCACGTTTGTCCCTGAACTTGTCCTTTCGGCTGCCTTCACACAGCAGGGAAAAGTTCCAGATGTCTGAGGGGGAGGGGGTGGGAAGGCTGTACCCAGATAGTGTGGCGGGCGTACATGCGTCATTTACCCAAACAAAGCCATTCAGTCAAACACGGCCGACGAAGAGATATAATTCCTCTCACTGATCGGACTTATGTTAAGCATAATTCTGTGCACATGAAGACGCATAAGAGACCTGGATGATGAAGCTCAATGGTTAAAGGAATCACGGAAGCGGTGTGAAGCGCTCCGTCGCGCGTCTAGGAAACGGTACCATAGGAGGCGAGCTGCCATGGTTCGCCGCATGCTACAGGAGCGAGCTACCTAGGTGCACACAGCGTCCCCCGGTCCCCTCCTCCTCGTCCGGAACTCGACCTCACCAGTCTGAAGCAGCCACCCTGTCCGAGACAAGTCCGGTCCTGTTACTAGGGGCTTCGCCCAGTTTAATTACGGAAAAGGTTATCCGGATGTTTGTATTCAGACACAAAGGTCTTAAGGACAGAGTCCCGAACATTTCGGTTTTCATGGCCTGTCTGAAGGGGGGCTTAGGTCACTTCCGCATTATGGGTCCCTGGAAGAACGAAAACATGAATGCAAGTCAACAGGGCTAAAAACTTTATTTTCTAATCCACTTTGCCTTACTCCCTGATAGCACATATGTTGTATTGCAATTTAAATGAAAAGTAATTGTGTTTCGACCACGCCAGTCACGTACTTTGAGATTTATAAGTTTGTAAAAGTTCGTAATTAACATGACTACACACCAGAAATTGACACGTTGCATATGTGACGTCACCACATAATCTCCTCCCCTAACGTAGCTGCTAATTACCAAATGACCAGATTTATGGCGGTTCTTTCCTCCTGTGGGAAGTTTGCTGAACTTACAGCCCTTTTCCCTCAGTTTTCTCCGTGTCTGTTTCGATGACATCGCTTTGTGAAGCGCATTTGTAGTCCTGGATTTCTTTTCACATAAACCCTAAAATAGTGTTTCCCCCGTTCGAAAATAAGCACGTTCTTGGTATCAAAATGTGTCTTCAAAATTCACGGACTTCTTGGCATAAAACAAGCTAAATTAGAAAATAGCCTTTTTAGCCCCATTGACTTCCATTCATTCTTTAGTTTTTCCGGTGACCTATGATGCAGAAGTGACTTAGGCTCCCAATGGTGGCGTTTTTATGAGTTTTACGGCCCTCGCCTCTGGAACGATCTGCCGGAGGACCTCAGGGCCGCAGAGAACGTTCATGTTTTTAAGTCCAGGCTCAAGACCCACCTAAATAGGTTAGCTTTTATCTAATCGACTATCTAAGCGACTTTTTCACTTTTTTGAGCCGATTTTCCACTCGCGCGTCACTCTCTAATGGGGGTGATTGATGTCAAGTTGTTGTTGTTACTGTTGTTGTCGTTAGCCTCAAGGGCAACATGCCGATTATCACTTGTAAGTCGCTTTGGACAAAAGTGTCTGCTAAATACATAAACATAATTTTTTACTATAGTTTTAGTTCTCGTTTTACATGATTATATTTAATTACTGGCTTTGCATGCTTTATATGATTATATTTTAGCATAGTTTCATTATTTAATAATCTTATTTTACTGTCTATATTTATTACTAATTTTCTTACTTTAGTCATTTATATTAGCTCTTTTATTTTCATATTTTTACTCATTTTAATCCAGTGTTTTCTCTGTGGGGGCCCTCTGCCCCAGGGGCGGTGGTCGACTGTTGCTTCCTGGGCGCTCTATAGGTAGTGCTTAATTGGAGGTGGGGGTCTATGCTCCCCCTCAACTGAGCGCCCTGACTTAGTGTGGAAGACCTGATGCTGCCAGGGCAGACGGCTCCTCTGATGGTGTTTCCTTGCCTTACCTTACTTGGCTCATCTGGACTCAGCCCAATGTGTTTTGTATTTCTTATGTTGTGTGTGTGTGTGTGTGTGTGTGTGTGTGTGTGTGTGTGTGTGTGTGTGTGTGTGTGTGTGTGTGTGCGCGCGCGCGTGCGTGTGCGCGCGTGTGTTAATGTTTTTATGCTGTTATGGGAGTTTGGGGTCATTTTAATTCTGTAAAGCATCTTGAAAATTTCTCTGGCATTTTTTAACTTTCTGATTTACATAAAAAGTAGGTCACACATGGCTTTGACTTTTTGGCATGCTACTTTTGACCACCCAAGCTGTCTTTATTCACAAACAACAAGAAAATGTTGGTTTAGATTCTTTGTCCCCTTTAAAATAATACAGTGTGAACAAAATATAGAAACACATTAATTCAACATCATCCAACACTAAATATTAGCTTTAGCATACTTTTCAAACATGGATCAATAGCATTTGGCCTTTCATTGGTTTTACACCAGAAGTTGGTATGTACTAAATTAGCAGATTAGCTGCACGATGGTGCCCCCTAGTGGACAGAAAAGCCTTAACATCTTGCAGATGAACATCTTGAACATTGATCTGATGCCACAAACTTAGGCAATCGAGGAAAGCATATTCAAACATGTGATGTTCATTTTATTCAAAACTTTATTTAAACTTTTAAACAAGGAAAGACAAGTGTCAGTGATGTGACAAAAACAAAAGTGCTCACAAAAAAACAGAAGTATTTCCTCAGTTAGGAAACTAAATACAGTGCGTTACTATAATTAGTAATGAAGAGAAATTAAAGATGCATAGATGTGACAACACCTCTCTCTCTCTGAAGGGTTCAGCTGTTTTACTGCATGATGACATTGAATCAACACGTTCTACACAATAAAGGCTACAACAATAAACAACAAACCAATTTCCATTACAACAAATCAGAGTTTTATCTAAAACATGAATTACTTACTGAAAATTAGACAAAATAAAGAAGTAAAAGTTAGAAACTGGTGATATTTTGAAACGTTTCTGCATGTTAATGAGGACATGACAGCAGCAGGGTAGGATCATCAGAGCGAAGTGTGCAGGCGTCGGTTTGCACAAATACACAGAAATACAGCATTTCACTGCTAAACACTTGACATTTTCAAAGATAAAAATGAAAATAAATAAGTCAATAAATAGTGTTTTAACTTACATCTGGAAGCGTTTTCCCTGCTCTTCAAAGTCTTTAGCTAAATAACAGAAGAAACTTAACGCATGTTCATCTCCTCACCTAAAATTAACACTTTCTAAGATTTGACATATTTCAAAAGGTCATTTTAACTGAACTGTGAGTTAAAAGTAAAAGTCTGTTTGTAGCTAGTTACAGCGATCACTGCTAAGGTAAAATACAGAAACAAGTGGTCCTTTTTGGTTCATGATTTTCTTTTTTAAAGGGACTTTACGGAGTTTTGAATTTTTATTCTCGCGATTGCCCCCTCAGGCCAAAAGCGTAACGGCAGCTTCAATAGTAGGCTCGTGCAGATGGGTCAGTCCTCCTGCATGCTCAGATCATTCCCTTCCCTTGCTTGAAAAATTGTTCCAAAATGAAAGTTGAACCCACATCTTTTTTATCTGTGAATTCAATGCCGATCGGCGAGTCTCAAATAAAAATTTGGGCATCTTACTGTAAAAAAAATATACCATTAATGTAAAAAAAGAAACTCACTATGTTCACATCCAGAATCAAACCCAGGTCTTCTGCACGGGAGTCCAACGTTTAACTAGGTGAGCTAAAGCACTAGTGATGTGCTTTGTATCTGTAACATTTATATCCTTGATGACACCTGAAACAACGCTCAAAGAACGGTTCAGAGCGAAAATGGCTATTTTGTTGCTAATTTGCAGGAACTATCTAGAAGAAAGTAGCTAAGGGTCCTCAGAAATGTAGCTAGCTTTGTCACTAGGCGTTAGGAACAGCGACAAAGTGGCACTGCCTCGCTCTCTGCCGCTAAAGCTACGGATAGCAAATGCTACGGGCTATGCCTGAGCGTGAACGTGCGTGAAGCAGCCTGCTCGACCCGAGCAGCTCTCTTTTTCTGTGATTTTACAGAAAAACAGGCAATCACAGTAAAAATGCCAGGGCTCATTCTACAGGACCAGGGCATTGCAGGAGAATGTATGAAGAAGAAATGTATTATTTCTATACATGTTTTGGCTGTCAAACTTCCATAATGCCCCTTTAAATGAATGAAAATTTTGTGAGATTTGTTCAAGATTAGCTACATTTAGCTGCTTTGTTAGCTTAACCGTGTGTTTGTTGTTGTAAAGGCTTAAAAAGCTTACTCTGCTGTTCCAAGTTTACAAAAACATCCTGGGAGTTTATCATCTAATAAAATGTCAGTTCTTCTTTTTAACACATTGCTGCAGAAAATCATGTTAAATAACTGAAATGCTGTGTTGTTGCTCTGAATGCAAATCATAAGAAAGGTCTAATAAAGATTGTGACAAGGTCTGTTTGTGAAATGTCTTATTTTTTGTTAAATTAAAATAATTTATCTTACGCACTTGCATAGAATTACATCTTTGCTTGTATTGCATCAAACCTCCGTGCCTTGAATCTCATTGTTTTGGATGCTAGGATCATTTGCAGTGTGTTGACAGTTGAACCGTACCAACCACCAAACACTGATTAGATAGAAACTGTGGCATAAAAAAGATGAACCCCTCTGATACAGGCTTATAGGTTTACAACACCTAAGACACTTAAAAGAATACCCTAATGAATGAAATGTGCCCTTGTAAAATCACACCAGGCTACTAAGCTAACTAGCCATCACTTCTGTTATACTACACTGATGAGATATTTTTCTAAAAAGCTAAATCTGTTGACTAATCAAACGTCTCGCAATCAGATTCTCAGCTGCTGACTGAAAACCTGGCCCTCCTGCCTCTCTGCACCAATGAAGATTAATCATCACTCCATCCTCTGCCCCATTCCTGTTCTCTCCTGATTTCTACCTCTTTCCCTAAAACCCACTGGCCTTCTCCAGTGGCAAGCCTGCACAAAGTCTCTACACCAACTCAACCACCGAAACCTACGGCTGTCTTAGGAGATAGCTACAGTAAATCCTGATTCTTGCACAAAAACTGTAGATGCTACAATACTAAGAAGGAGCACTGTCCTAAGATCTTAAAACCTAAATACCTTAGAACAAATTAAAAACTGGACTTTAAGTAGGATCAGATAAGTTGTTCCTGTAACGTCAAACTGATGTAAACTTAGAGAAAACTATGTCCGTCCATGATGCTGTAAACACAATAAGAAAATGATGAAACATGGACATCATGTAAGTTTCGTACATTTTCAGATTTTGGCAGCATTTGCTACCTAGCTACTGAGAGTTTGGGAGTAAACCTGAGACTTCCATCAAACTGGAGGTCATTTAGGCACACTAAGAACCAGTATGGCAGCATTTTCCAGTTTGATCTGAACACATTTCAGCCTCTTGTAGCTGAAAACCCAGCTCAACCATGACATCACAGACGCAACATCTATTGACTTGCCATTGGGTGAAGGCATGAATGCCGACACCACGTCTTTGCCTCTTGACTTTCCAAACCTTCACAGAAAAACATTCTGCCTGTACATTCAAAGCTAGCAAGTACCATACTGTCTATTGGCTGCTATTTAGTACGCAAGCAAGCTCAGATTCCCTCCCAGTAACCCAGACCTGGCCCCATTCCTCGAACCACAAAAAAAAACTGAAAAGCCTAAAATAAAATATATTAATCCCTTAACTTCTGAAGTTGAGCTGAGTGGATTACTCATCTAGGAGCTCATGATCTGACCTGACCAGGTCTCGTGCTTGGTGCCCGGGTTTAGGTGGGTGATGACCACCTCGACAGCCTGGACCTTCTGGTTCTTGGGAGGAACGGGGCAGACCTTGTATGTGACTTCATCTCCTTCCATTGGCACATACTCCCCTTCAATGCTGTCCAAAAGATAGAAATGTAAGGATGAAATTAAGAATCAAAGCTGGTATATGCTGAAACTGTACATCCTGTTAGTTTTTCTCTTTTTTAGGGGGCCTGTCCGGGATCCTGGTTTTCATGCTGTTTTTTTATTTTAACGAAGATTACTGAAATACATAACGTATTCATCTACTATTAAACTGTTTCATCCTCACTAGGGTCTCGAGGAGCTTGCGTTTAACTAAAGCAGTCATGGGGATGCCCTGGATAGGTTATCCATCACGGGGACAAACAACCAGTCACAAACTCACTAACATATGGGGGCAATTTAGAGTTTCCAAACTAACATGAAAGCTTTTGATCTATGCGAGAAATGTGGAGAACCCAGAGAAACTCCATGCATGCATGGGGAGAACATGCTGCGAGGCAACAGTGCTAACAACTGCACCACCATGCATTCCTCACATGAGATAGTTTGGGTGCTGGAGAGCACCACCCCTTTTACTTTATCGTGGTTTGAGCTATGTCTGTGCTCATGAAGGCAGGAGAGATGACATACAGATATCAAAGAGTATTTTAAATATAAATAATACTTTTACTAGAACTAAACTGCTTCTTTATTATGTACACGGGTCATCTCTGCTAAACATCTGCTCTTTGTCCACACATTTGCAGGAAAATCTACAGTTTTGTGTTCTACACTAGCACATGGGTAAAATTTACGATATGTTACATTTAGGTCAAATTTGTGCACACTGTTTCTAATAGTAGACTATTGGCTTTGACACAAATAGCTGTAAGACCCTCAGAGGAAATCTGGGATCCTTTGGAGAGCTCCTTTTTACAATAATAAACTAGTCTGGACATGAGCTGAATCTGCTGGAATGTTGTGTTATATGGCAGTCTCTTGAACTCCAAAACCCTTCTGGGTCAATTTCTTTACAGTGAAATGATTAGTTTTAAAAACATTAAAGCGGTTCTTGTTACCACTTCACTAAAATCTAAGTCTGAATCTTTTAGCCTTCTGCTCCGGTCTTGTTGGATCTCAGTGCTGATTTTTACACAGTCGATCAAAATTTTCCCTTAGAGAGGCTTAAACATGTAGGGATCAAAGGAACAGCGCTAGACTGATTTACATCCTATCTGTTTGACAGATTTCATTTGGTTGATGTAAATGAGAAATCTTCATCATACTCTAGGGTTACTTGTGGAGTACCACAGGGTTCAGTGCTTGGACCAATTCTTTAAAAATAATAATAATAAATATATATATATATATATATATCCATCCATCCATTTTCATCCGCTTATCAGGAGCCGGGTCGCAGAGGCAGTAGCCTAAGGCGAGAGGCCCAGACTTTCCTCTCCCCAGCCACTTGGGCCAGCTCCTCCGGGGGAATCCCAAGGCATTCCCTGGCCAGGTGAGAGACATAGTCCCTCCACCGTGTCCTGGGTATACCTTTAGGTCTCCTCCCGGTTGGACGTGCCCAGAAAACCTCACCAGGGAGGCGTCCAGGAGGCATCCTGACCAGATGCCTGAGCCACCTCAACTGGCTCCTCTCGATGTGGAGGAGCAGCGGGTCTACTCCGAGCCCCTCACGAATGACCGAGCTTCTCACCCTATCTCTAAGGGAGAGCCCAGCCTCTTCTTCTGAGAAAAATCATTTCTGCCGCTTGTATCCGCGATCTCGTTCTTTTGGTCACTACCCAAAGCTCATGACCATAGGTGAGGGTAGGAACGTAGATCGACCGGTAAATCAAGAGCTTCGCCTTCTGACTCAGCTCTCTCTTCACCACGACAGACCGGTACAACGCCCGCATCACTGCAGATGCAGCACCAATCTGCCTATCGAGCTCATGCTCCAGTTTTCCCTCACTCATGAACAAGACCCCGAGATACTCTTCCACTTGGGGCAAGACCTCATCCCTGACCCGGAGAAGGCATTCCACCCTTTTCCGAATCAAGACCATGGTCTCAGATTTAGAGGAGCTGATTCTCATCCCAGCTGCTTCACACTCGGCTGTGAACCGCTCCAGCGAAAGCTGAAGATTGCGTTCTGATGAAGCCAACAGGACCACATCATCTGCAAAAAGTAGAGACCTGATCCTCAGGCCACCAAAATGGATGCCCTCCACACCTTGGCTGCACCTAGAAATCCTGTCCATAAAGGTTATGAACAGAATTGGTGACAAAGGGCAGCCTTGGCAGAGTCCAATTCTCACTGGGAACGAGCCCGACTTACTGCCGGCAATGCGGACCAAGCTCTGACACTGGTCATACAGGGACCTAACAGCCCGTATCAGAGGGCCTGGTACCTCATACTCCCGGAGTACCCCCCACAGGGCCCCCCGAGGGGTCAAACGCCTTCTCCAAATCCACAAAACACAAGTAGACTGGTTGGGCAAATTCCCACGCACCCTCCAGGATCCCCCTAAGGGTATAGAGCTGGTCCAGTGTTCCACAGCCAGGACGAAAAACACACTGCTCCTCCTGAATCGGAGGTTCAACAATCTGATGGACCCTCCTCTCCAGAACCCTTGAATAGCCCTTACTAGGAAGGCTCAGGAGTGTAATCCCCCTGTAGTTGGAGCACACACTGCGGTCCCCCTTTTTAAATAAGGGGACCACCACCCGGTCTGCCAGTCCAGTGGGACTGCCCCCGATGTCCACACGATATTGCAGAACCGCGTCAGCCAACACAGCCCCACAACATCCAGAGCCTTAGCGAACTCCGGGCGGATCTCATCCATCCCGGGGCCTTGCCACAGAGGAGCTTTATAACCACCTCAGTGACCTCAGCACCAGAGATTTGAGAGGCCAACCCAAAGTCCCCAGACTCTGCTTCCTCACTGGAAGATGTGTCGGTGGGATTGGGTGTGCTCATCTATACATCAAAGTGAGGACCAATGGCAAGCTTTTTACCAGCAAACTGAGGACATTAGGAGCAAAGTGAGAACATTTTGCTGGTTCTCACTTTGGTACAATGTTACAGAGCTCTACTCGTTAGTTTTAGAGGTATGGTGTGTGCGTTTTAGTTACAGTTAAGGTTAAGAATAGACTGGTTATGGTTAGAGTTAGGATTAGTGTTAGGCACAATCCAGTCACTAAAATGGAGGTGTTACAAGCCAATTTACCAGGCTAGCTCCACTCCTCTAGATGTTATTCAAATCTCAGGGTTTGACTTGTAATCGGTGTAGTGAGCATGGCATCAGTCACCAACAAACACCCTTACTCTGTAGAGAGTTGATTAGCAAATCACCAAATTACCCAGGGCTTCTAATTCTGACCAAAATTCGTTTAAGCAGACACAAAGGAAGACTTCAAATTATTCCAACCCACTCTCTATTCCTTCCGGCTCATTGAATGCCATCAGGTAATCACTGTAATAAACTGTTCCCTTTATGCTGAAGGAACAGCTAATTCAACCGTAGCAAAGGATGGTATTAGCATCTGATGTCATTTCTAACCTAAGGATGGGATAATTTTAATCAGCACCTCACCTGTTGGGTGGATTGCCGACCAAAGAGGAGACCCCTAGAGACGTAGAACTTGTTTGCGTTCCTCGCAGTAGAGAAACAGATTTCATTCCAAATACAGGTGAAAAAATGAAGATCCCGACGCAGCGGGCCACACATTCGATCAAAAAACTTAACAAGCTTCCAGCCGCGCGCTCTCGAACCTTCTCCCCCAGCCTATTTAACTCCTTCCTTCCCCCCCCTTCCTCTTCACTCTTCGGGGGTGCACCTTGCAGCCCCGGCCAGTATTTTTTTTATGTTTTATGTAGTTCTTCCACAATGCAATGGCAGATTGCCCCATTGACTGGCATCCATGGTGGTCCAATCACAGCACTCTAGTGGTTTGGTGGGCCAATTACAGCACTATGTCAGTCAGGTGGGCGGAATGTTACTGCAACTGAGCGAAACTAAAATGGTCACAGTTCCGTAGCAGTCCAATCACAGCGCTCTATTGGTGGGCGCGATATTACTGAAAAAACAAAGATGACTGCTTGTTTGAAACGGTTTTGGCATTAACGTTGGACTTTTTAGACTTGGGCTATTCTTTGAGTCAAGAACCGACAGAGGTACTTAAATTTACTCAGAAAAAGTATGCATCATCTTTGAAGGAATAGTTGATTGACATCCATAGCATTTGCCCTTGGCCTCAACGTTGCAATAAGAAAAATAACTTTCCACTACGTTGCATAATTTCACCAGCGTGTGCATGCTTGGTTGTACCAGAAACATCACTCCGTGAGATAAAAGCATTCTCAATGCGGTGAGGTGACTCACTCAGAAATGTGTACGAAGATGTCCTCTCCTCCACGAGAAGGACGAATGAATCCGTGACCCTGAGACCTGGAGAAGTTTTTACACACCCCTTTAAATACAGGACCTGATCTGGCTCGTACTGTCCTGCAGAGAATCAAAACACAGACATTGTTTTAAAAGCTTTTTTTTTGGTCATAGTATGAATGTAAACAAGACCAGTACTGAATGCTTTTCTTTAGTGTTTGTACTCACGCTGAGTATGTGCGGGTGCGTTTGGTGGGCAGTGGGCTGGGCAGCTCTCCAGGCTGTGGTGGCTTCCTTTCCCGTTCCCAAACACGGCTGCCTTCCCTCAGGAAGGGGAAGGAGAGCTGCACAGGAGTGCGTGGGGAAGTCACAGGTAACGGCGGGTCTGGTGGCAGTGAGGAATCGTCTTCTGACATCTTGACTTGCATCAGAATATAATATGGAATGAGAAGGTGGAGGGTTACACTTCCTGCATGGCACAAGTGCCAGGAGGAAGAGAAGTGAAGCAACCACACCCTGAAGGAAAGGAACCCGAGAAATGTCAGAGAGAAGTAAGCTTCATCTATAAAACTGTCAGCACATCGTTTTTTTCAGACGTAAAAAAAAATGCGTGCAGGCAATTGCACTTGTCACAATATTGAAAAAGAAATGTTTGCTATAATTTCAAATAAACAAAGACCATGTTTAATAGCCAATATTTGCATAGATATTTCTGGTGTGTGCATTTATGTGTCTAGTTTCCACCAGAAAAGGCTGTTTTGTTGCAGTATGAAGCTCCTTTTAAGCTGCTGAAGCCAAAATCACAAAAGTGTTTGTGATTCTTTAAAACACATTGTCTTCATTCATCTGCATCAAATAGCATGACTCAGAGGTCTCACGTCCAGACAAGACCTAGAGAAACTCATTCATGCATTCATCTACAGCAGGCTGGACTATTGCAATGGTCTTTTGACTGGTCTTGCCAAAAAAGTTGCAACTGCAGCTTATTCAGAATGCTGCTGCTTGAGTCTTAGCAAGAACTTAAGAACCAAGCACATCACTCCTGTTCTTAAATCTCTTCACTGGTTACCAGTAAACTACAGAATCAATTTCAAAGTGCTTCTACTAGTTTATAAATCACTCAATGGCATTGGGCCAGAATACATGTCAGCTCTCCTTCGGGTATATACGCCCAGCATGGCTCTGAGATCCTTAGGAAGCGGTCAGCTGGTAGAACCCGGGTCAGAACCAAACAGGGTGAAGCTGCTTTTAGCTACTATGCAGCACACAGATGGAATCAGCTTCCTCATGACCTCAAATGTGCTCCAACTCTAGAAACGTTTAAATTAAAAACCTTTAGGTTTTCATCAGCCTTTGAATAGCTGTTCTTATGCTGCACCTTCTGCACTGTATTTGCTCACCCTTTAACTTTGTTTCATTTTAAATTTGAAATTGTATTTTCTGTCATGTTGATTTTAATGTTCTTGCGAATGCAAAGCACACTGAATTGCCTCTGTGTATGACGTGTGCTATATAAATAAAGCTGCCTTGCCTTGCCTTGCATCCACCCATAAGAATTACTGCTACAGACAAGTGAGATCAAAACTATTTTTTAAACTGTGTTTAGATTTATGAGGTCCCTGAGCGGACATGGGAGGAAAATAACCGACAAATGGTTTGAAACTATTTGGTGCAGGAAAACAAAATGTTCGCTTGGTTTTTGGATTTGGGCCCAAAGTATCCAAATGAATGTCTTCCTGCTTTGTGTTGTTATGTCTGAAATTTGTAATAACATACTGAAGCAGCACATTGTGTGACAGCTGATGGTGTTATTCTGAAAAAAATTGGCTCCAGTTGTAGAAACATAGGTTGATTTGAGAAAATGAACAAAAGGAATGCAAACTAAAAATGTTAGAAAGTGATATTAAAATCCTCCAAAAGGTCTCATCAGATATGAACTTTCAATTATTAGATTTAATCAAAAACTGAAGTAGAAATGCTGAGTTTCTTGTCAGAAGGCACCACCTAGAGGCAGAAAATGTATTGCACCATAAGCTTGTCTCCCTACTTCTGTAGACATGGCAGAAAGGCAAGGCCGCTTTATTTATATAGTACATGTCAAAGAGAGGGGCAATTCAGTGTTCTTCACTATTAGTATGAAATGGCACAACAACAAACACGAGAACACAAATTAAAATATACACAGATAAAATAATAATTTTGAGCTAAAAAGAAAAGACAGAATTAAGGTTGAGCAACTACTAGAAAGCAATGCCTCTTGCTCCTGAACGTGCACCTTTAGAACTAAACCAAGTTGTTTTACAAAAATTATTCTCACATTTATTCACATATATAGGATGGCTTGCCAGGTAAGACTATCATTTTTACGAATTTCTAAAAAATTGTACGCAATTTCAGAAAGGGGGAAAACTCTGCATTGCTGCTTGAAGCAACTCTCTGAGCTAATTCAGGAATAGCTTAACTGACCTCAAGTTACAGTCTGGTGGTTGTCGCCTTGATATTCCTGTACCGTTTCCTGGATGGCAGCGGCATAAACAGTTTGTGACCTGGATGGAAGGGATCAGCAGCGATACGGTTAGCCTTCCTTTGTAGTCGGATAGTATATACTGAGTCCAGATCTGGTAGTGGGCTCCCCACGATCCACTGAGCAGTTTTCACCACCCTGGCCAGGTCTTTTTTGTTCTGGACGGTACAGCTCCCATACCACACCGTCATAATGAGTGATAGAATGCTCTCAATCATAGCTCTGTAGAAGTTCTTTAGCAGTTGGGGGAAGAGGAACCCGAGAAATGTCAGAGAGGAGTAAGAGATCGGCTCCCTTCAGTTTCCAAAGGAAGAAGAGTCTTTGTTGGGCCTTCTTTACCAAAAAGGAAATGTTCAGTGACCAGGTTAGATCTGAGGTAATGTGGACGCCCAGGAATTTGATGTTGTCGACACGCTCTACTAGCTACCCCCAAATGAGTAGAGGTGGGTGCTCTATCCTATTGGACCTCCTGAAGTCCACTATGACCTCCATGGTCTTACTGGTGTTGTTCAAAGAACACCACTGAGTGAGGTGCTGTATCTCCTCTTTGTAGAGGGTCTCATCATCATTTGTTATGAGACCCACTATGGTGGTATCATCTGTGAACTTCAAAACCATGTTTGAGGGGTGGAGGGCTGTGCAGTCGTGGGTAAATAATGTCAAGAGAGTTGGACTGAGCACAGAGCCCTGTGGTGTGCCTGTGTTTAGAATCATGGTGGATTATGTTTGGTCTCCTATTCGACTTTAGTGAAACGACCTTAATCATTTTTGCAGATATACATTTGGAGAACACTGTATTGCTACACTTACTGCTTGTTTTACTGACAGGAGAGGTGAATGTTCAGCTTCATCTGTGACGAGTGGCGTGTCTAATGGTTCGCTCAATGTGAAAGCAGCGGCAGCTGCAGGAGCGGGTTGTCAGCTCAGGAGAGCGTCCAGTGTCTCTCTTCTCTCCGAGGGTGTGTAGGCTCTTTGTGTGGGAAAACTGTCAGTAAAGCATTTAGTTTCTGCCTTCTCTTGTACCCAGCCGCTCTGATGAGCTCTTTAAGTAGTTGTAGTCGACTATAAGCCTCAAAGGCATCAAGAGAAAGATTTTGGGAACACAGCCGTGGATCTTTGGGAAGATACATCCGTCCACAGGCATCTTCCCACTGCTTTCTCCTCTTCATGCCAGTGGGAAAGCTGTGTAAACTCACATCACTCCCCTTGTTGCCCTTCGACTGGAAATTACCTCCAAAAGCGGCACAATACGGCATTTTACTTAATTATTAATACGGTGAGAGCGTAAACAAACACTGACGTCAATAGCTATTCTTCCAAGCACAACCAAAATACGTCAGCGCCCCCAGAGTGCATTGCGTGCAGAATACATGGTGACCTATGTATGTCCAAAAATGTACTAAATAGTATAGATTTATAAATAAACAGCAATATTTTGTGTGTTTCTAACAACATAGTTTGGTACAACAGAAAAATTGTGGTTTATTAGGGCACATACGCCCTCATAGCTGGAGTTCCTTTTAAAGCTAAATGAAGACAAAACTGAGGTGATTCTTTCCGAGACCCAACATAGAAGTTTGTTCTCAGGCCCAGTATATTAAGCCAAGTGTTACTAACCTCAGGGTCATAGTGGATGCTGGATTAAAGTTAGACAACCACATTAGATTAGTTAAGACTAGCTTTTTTCATTTAAGGAAGCTGGCAAAAGTAAAGCCCATTCTGTCCCAGAAACATTGTGAAACTGTAATATGTGCCTTTGTTACGACGCGGCTGGACTACTGTAATGGCCTGTATGCAGGAATAAATGACGCCTATATCTCTCATCTACAGAGTATAGAATGCAGCTGCCTGCCTCTTAACAGGAACAATGAAGATCAATCATATCTCCCCTGTTTTGGCTGAATTGCAATGGCTGCCTGTGCCTTTTAGAATTAGTTATAAAGTTCTTGTATTTGCTGTTAAATCTCTTAATGGCCATGCCTTGCCCCACCTTACCTGTGCGAGCTGCTACACCCACACATCCCCTCCGGTTCCCGGTTAGCTGTTAAGCTGCTCCTGACTGTTCCAAAAACAAAGCGTAAACTCAGAGATTGTGTCTTTGCTGTAGCAGCTCCTAGATTGTGGAATGAGCTTCATTTAACCCTCCCACTGTCTTTACGGGTGACCCCGCAAGGAAAGTTGACCATTGAGCAGGATTGATGGTTTATCTCTTGAGGTCCACGTGCCAACCACACCCTGAAGGAAAGGAACCCGAGAAATGTCAGAGAGGAGTAACGTGGCAGGGTGGGGCTCATTCCTCACCCCTGCCACATGGACCCAAGGGATAAACCATCAACCCTGCTCAATGGTCAACTTTCCTCGCGGGGTCACACCCATTAGGACAGTGGGAGGGTTAAATATCAGACAAGCCTCATCGCTATATGATTTCAAATCACTGCTCAACACCCACCTCTTCTCTCTGGCCTTTGACACGCTCTGAGATGTTGACTTTTAACTAGCTTTTAGACCATTTTATTATTATCTGAATTGCATTTAAGGTATTTTATCTATGTTTTATTCTGTTTAGTTTATTGTTTTAACTCTATGGCTGTTAATAATAATACCATAGTACCTAAAATCATGTCATTTTTAAGTTTGTTCTGGTACAGCACCTTGGTCCTGCTGGTGTTATAAGTGCTATACAAATAAAGTTGGTATGGTATGGCATGATATGGTATGGTATGGTACATAGGTGGGTGAATTATTGGTTTATATAGTCCAACGGGGTTGGATCAAGGGCATGTCTGAGACACAATGCTTTGGTGCACCTCAGATTTATAGAAGGTTCACATTGGGACATCTGTGTGTAACTATTTGTGTCAGTTTGACCAAAATTGCATGTTTTTGTTAGCGTTAGCTAACATATCAACCTGGGTAATAGTTAAGGTTAGCTAACCCTTCAGCTTGTGGCCCTGCTGAGGTTTAATGGAAGCTCAGGTTACTTTGACAAAAGCCTTCAGGTCATATAATAAAACTTGAATATGAATTGTTGGGTCTGGTGTCTCATCTTCCTCGTGAAAACAACCCAGAGATTCTCTATGGAAGGTTCAGGTCAGACCAGTTTACGGACCAATGAAGCTCGTTAAGACCATACCATACCATACCATACCACCTTTATTTATATAGCACTTTAAAACACAGCCATACGGCCGACCAAAGTGCTGAACAGTCGCACAATAACAGAGATAAAAACATAAAACAGAGCAATAAAATACAGTCAACAGATAAGAAACAAGCCAATAAAAAAGTTCCGATAAAAACCTTACAATAGATGATAAAATAAGAGTAGTAAAAACCAAAATAACAGCTAACTGTTAAAAGCAAGGGTAAAATAGTGTGTATTTAGTCTAGACTTAAAAACTGCCAAGGAAGATGCCAGTCGAACTGCGGCTGGAAGTTCGTTCCACATTTTAGGACCGGCAACAGAGAAAGCTCTTTGTCCGCATGATTTATAACACGCTTTTGGTACCTAGAGGAGCGACAGGCTAGAGGACCTTAGTGTGCGACCGGGAGTATACATCACAAGAAGATTAGACAGGTACACGGGGGCAAGACCATGGAGGGATTTGAAGACAAAAAGCAATATTTTATATTGGACCCTGAAAGTGATGGGCAGCCAATGAAGGAATTTTAGAACTGGAGTTATGGGATGGCGCCTGTCAGTACGTGTGAGGAATCTAGCCGCTGCGTTTTGGACGAGTTGAAGTCTGGCATGGGTTGACTTATTGACACCCAGCAATATTGCGTTCGAATAGTCGAGCCTAGATGTGATAAAAGCATGAACAACTGATTCCAAATTTTTCCTAGATAAAACTGCTCTTTATTTGGACAGACGGCAGAGTTGGAAAAAACAGGATTTTACGGTGGCATTGACCTGGGCGTCCATCCTAAGAGATGAATCCATCTTTACACCCAGGTTAGTCACAACGGTTTTTAGATTTTGAGAAACAGATGAAAGATCTGGGGTTTGGAATGGGCTAGATCTGACCGGATTAAACAGGATCAGTTCAGTCTTGGAATCGTTGAGATGAAATTTGAGGCCAGCCAACATTTCACGTCTCGTAGGCAGTCTAGAAGAGGCTGGATTGATTGCTAGGGTTTAACCGACATGTAAATCTGGCAGTCATCAGCATATAAATGATATTGAACATGGTCAGTGAACCAGCTTTTAGTACCTTTGGCAGTGTTGGCAGGTACCAGGTCTTGCTGGAAATTTAAATCAGCATCTTCATAAAGCTTGAGAGCAGAAGGAAACATGAAGAGCTTGAAATGATCCAGGTAGATGTTTGTTTAATGCAGACTCAGTGGACCAACACCAGCAGAAGACATGGAGCTCCAACAATTCACTGATTTTGGGAACTTTAATCTGAACTTAAAGCAACATGGATTCTGTTCTTCTCTTCTCTTCTTCCACACTCTAGGACCTTGATTTCCAAATGACCTGAAGACTTAACTTTTATCTGAAAAGAGTACTTGACCACCAAGCAACAGTCCAGGTCTTGCTCTTCTTAGCCCAGATGAGACGCTTCTGGTTCAGGAGTGGTTTGGCAAAAGGATTGTGGTATTTGTGGTCTAAGTAGCAACTCTCAATGCCCTGACTCCAGCCTCAGTTGGCTCCTGGTGAAGTTCACCCAGATTTCTGAAATAATACAGCTTCACAATCTTCTCCCTGTTGCTGCTGTACCTTTTCCTACACACCATGACCTTTTCCTTACACTCAGATCTCTATTTACATGTTGAGATGAGATACAGCACTCTGAACAAGCACCTTCTTTAACAAATTGCCTTCCTTGGCTTTCCCATGTGGACAGTGTCCATGACTGTCTTGTGGACATGTGCTCAGTCAGCGGTCTTCCACACGATTGTATAGTCTACAGACCCAGACTAAGACTAAGACCAGAAAGCTTTGCAGGTGTTTGAGTTGTAACTGATTAAGGGGTGATGCCACGAGTTTTCAGGATTGAACTTATTCATTATATTCTTATTTATTTACATATACCTGTAAATAAATTGATTTGAATCAAATTAATATTTTAATGACTTTCAGCTAGAAAACAAACAAATCAGGACAGTGTTCTTATCCAAACATTTGCTAAGATCAGATGTAGCATAGGTCAAGGTGAAAAATTGTGGAAACCAGTTTCTTTAGTTTAAAAACTCCCAAAAGCTGCATGTGAGGCTATATGAGCTAACTGACAACAGTGTTTTATCTGAATGCAAATGAGCTAAACCCTATTAGCATGTCATTAGCATAGCTGGTGGTAGCTAGCCCTGTTTAGCAAGCTAGCATGTCACCTAGTTGAAAAAAAAATAAGATACGTTATCTGGGATTTTTTAGGGGATGTTTTTTCCCCTGTGTAAATAAATTAAAATAATTATAGTCATGTACTTATATGTATACTTCAACACTGATAAACAAATGTTTGGCCTGCTAATTAGCTTTGTAAACAAAACATAACACTAGATAACTGCTGGGCTTTCTGATGCAGAAATGTGGAGCCACATGATGAATGAGGTTTAAATAATTCAGAAACTTTTCCTGCTCGAGCTCTTCCTGCATTAGCCCATTTATTTGTGGCTATTAGCTGAATTAATGCGTCTGCAGTGGAGATTTAGCGCTAATTCGTGCAACATTTAATTTAAATGGTGTCCGTTCAGGACTGGATGAGAGCTAGGAGAGAAGAGGGCCATAGGCAGCAGCACCCCTCCTGCGAAACCAGGACACTGGCCATCTGCATGAAAGACACGTAGTCAACTCCGACCGACACAAACAGGTCCGGATTTAAACTTTAAATTAGCCTCTTCAGCGAGGAAATTAGCACATGTAATGGTGTAATCTCTCTCAAACTGTCAGATTTACAGAGAATAATTAATTTATAGGCGAATCTGAACCCTTCAGGCGATTTGTTTCCAGAACATTCGTGAGACAGAAAGGGGAAAGGAAGCTCGATTGGTGCCAAAATATGAGAACAAAACCTCTAAGAAATATCCATATAGAAATGTAGCATTCTGGTATGAAGGCAAATCTGGGGAAAAAATACTGTTTAAACGCTGCCATGATTTTACAAGCTGTGTGATAATGGGAGAACAAACGATGTTAAATAAAAACTGAGCCAATCGGTGGAAAGAATACTCACCGTGAAATAAATCACCCGGATCTCTGATCGAATGTCATGAAAAGATTCCCACTTTTATGTGGTCAGAACTCAGCACCGGGGAGAAAGGGCTGAGCAGGTCCGAGGGTCTGGGTCTGGATGCGGATGAGGAGCGTGGGAGGCAAGGATTGTGTGTGTGTGTGTGTGTGTGTGTGTGTGTGTGTGTGTGTGTGTGTGTGTGTGTGTGTGTGTGTGTGTGTGTGTGTGTGTGTGTGTGTGTGTGTGTGTGTGTGTGTGTGTGTGTGTGTGTGTGTGTGTGTGTGAGAGAGAGAGAGGAGGAGAGAGAGAGAGAGAGAGAGAGAGAGAGAGAGAGAGAGAGAGAGAGAGAGAGAGAGAGAAAGAGGCGTTTGCCTGTCTGCACCACCATAGACATCATTTACATAGACGAACAGTAGACTGGTGCTGCCATAGACATAACTGCGTCGCCGCCATATTGGATGGGGTCCTCACTCCAAACCCAACTGGAGTCATTTCAGAGTGAACAGCTATGTCCCTTTTTTGTACAGCCGGCGCACTATGAAAACAGACCACGTGGAATTACATCTGTAGGGATGCACACTCCTAATCAAGATATTATTTCCTAATTGAACACAAGCATAATGAACACAACTAAAATGAAAAAAATTTCGAAGTCTTTTGCTAATAATTTCTGTTGTGTGACCAAAGAAACTGGCAGATTCAACAAAGTTAACCATTTTTATTTTTCCCAGTGGTTTTCAAAATTGCTGGCACTGCCTCCTGCTTGGAGTACAAGGGTACTTTAGCTTGGACCTGAATTTAACCCATCACACAGGAGAAAACACCTTTGACTCAGAATCACTGCAATCAGGTTCCCATGAACATAACAGCACACTATCAGTAATAAACCAGGCAGCAACTCACAGTGCTGCAAACGAGCAGGCCCGGTGCAGAAATATACCCTGGACTAATTAGCTGTGGCAGTTCAGCAAAGGTAATGTAGGAGGTGACCAAACAAACAATATAGATAGGAGTAATTGTTTGTCCACCCTTACACTTTCCCCCAACTGCTTTAAGACAACAAAAGCTAGATGGGGCGCCACCTATTGCTTTCTGTTGACAAGTGATGATGATGATGATGATGATGGATGGCTGGTGACACTTTTTACCCATAATGCACTTGGAAACTAGCAGGTCATTAAGTATGTGAGAGTAAAAATAAAGCCTGTCGTGCAGCTCAACATTTTATTAAATATTTTACACCTACTACATCACTAGTCAGTCATTTTTAGCAACCATGACTCAATTCTGACTGGGAAAAGCTATATAAACCCTAAATAAACGTGTGTGAGAGTAATTTATAAGAAGGCAGCTCATTCTGAACACAAGTTATGGAAGTGCTTGTCTCATCCAACATACTTGGTTTGTATTAGAGGTGTTGGTCCCTCTCATCGAGGGCAGTGTCGTAAAGGGCCCTACATGCAAGCATGAGGACTTACTTTGCTTTATAGTGCACTGGAAGCCAGTGGAGGACTTCAGCACCGGAGTAATATGTCCCCAACATCTTGTGCCTGTCAAAAAAAACTAGCAGCTGAGATTTAAACAAGCTGGAGGCTTCATTCATTTTTTAATTGTAGTCCAGGTTCCACACAAAATCTCCTGTAGAGCTGCAAATGCTTTCACTCTGGACACCCCTGCAAAGTTATCATCTCATATGGTGCTTTGTGTTCACGTTGGGTTAACTCAGTAGCACAATATCAGTGAAACTCACTTAATGTTTAACAATTTTATGTCTACGAATGTTGCCAAAGGTTAATCAGCTTTAGATGAAGATCCAGGAAGAATTCTCTTAAAGTTTAATTGCATTGCGACTAGTGGTTTGTGAAATTCTCCTCTAACAAACAGCCAAACCAGTTCCACTTTATGGAAACAAAGATCTCATTTAATCAAAGCCCACCTCTGATGCATAAACAGCACAATGTAACCAAGTTAGATCTGTGAATGTATTTATTTTACAATCCATTTTCCTGTTTTTGTTACACAGAAAAGATCATCGGGAGAAAACAAATGCACAAATGAGCACGGACACTTTACATGGAGTGGTTTACAGGAAGAAGATGCTTTACATCTTCGTCTGATTGGCAGATTATTTCTGTAATCAAAACAGAAATTTAAGAACAGTTACTCCAGTATGTTTTGCAGGGACTTTAGGACCAGAACGAGACATGGGTTTCTTAAAAAAGAAAAAAAAAGGCCTCAATGCTCAGTCTATGAGATTTTAACTGGTGTTTTCAGTTTCTTTCCACATCAATAAAACACTGAGTGCAGATTCTTTCCTTTTCACTAAACAAGTGGGTTTCTGTAGAGTTAATGAGTCTACAATGGCAGGAAGACTGTTTTGCATCAACTCTGTGAATGAAATAAAATCATTTAACTCAAAGAAAATGCTAAATTTGGATCTGGTGCAGAAAGGAAAAAAAAAAGACAAACACAAAGTCAAGTTTCTCATGCAGTAACAATATTCAATATATTGATGAAGAGACAGTTTAAAGCTGGTGGTGAGGAAAGCATCAGAGACGAGAGTTGCAATATTTTTCACAGTATCTGCAAAAACATGCAATTAAAACCCACTTTAATAGTCTCCCACGGTTAAATATACAGTAATCTAATTTATCTTAAACGTTAGCCGTTTGATCAATGACAATCTCTGCCAAATAAGTACTTCCTCCTGGCCACCTAAAGCACAGGTAAGTGCTAAGAGCTAGCTTCGACTTTTGACGTACTGAAATGTTTGATGAGCTGCCAAAAACACTGAAGGCAAATCAGCCGGCAGAGTATCATCAGCTAAAGTGTGTGTGTGTGTCCTCTTAACTGGTAATCACTGCTTGATTAAAACACAAGAGCTTACAATAATGTTGTGAAATTCTGCTTGTTGATGAATGAGGTTTATTTTAAAAGTAAAAATCCCACCACAGCTGTAGCCGTTCCATCGCTAGCACGTCATGCTCATCCTGGTGATGGAACCATCGGTTACATTCTGCCTCCTTACACCCTGAAACTCCTATGTTGTTCCTCTGCCCCGTCAGTGCAGCTCCTTCATCCTGTTGAGGGCAGAGCCCGCCTGGAACCACTGGATCTGGGTCTCGTTGAAGCTGTGGTTTAGCTCCAGGGTCTCCTTGCTGCCATCACTGTGCTGTACAACCGCAGTAAGAGGCTGAGAAGTAAAAAATAAATAAATAAAAGTATTAACTCTCAGTGAAGAGGATTTCTCTAGGTCATCTCCAACAGATGATTTCAAACAGCTCTTACCTTTCCTGGTGCAAAAGTTTTGAGTCCTTTGATAGAGATCCTGTCATCAGGGCGGATCTTGTCATAGTCTGATGGGTTACTGAATGTCAGTGGCAGCAGACCTTGCTTCTTCAGGTTGGTTTCTAAGAACACAGTTTCATTTGTTAAGGCACAAACCTGGGCGAGAGAGAGAGAGAGAGCCTGTGCAACTGGGGAGAACTATCGGCATACATAAAATGTAGATGGAGGAGCGTAACTCGGAAATGAAAGCCAAGAGGAACCGGAAATCTATCAGCTGGTTCCCGGTTCAAGCCCCACCCCCATCATGTAAACACAAAAACGTTCTAATACGCCTCAGATGATGTTTTTGGGGAAGGTTCACATATTTCTTACCTGATCCACTAGCCCAATTTTTCTGAAATTTTGTGGTAAAAGCATGTGGCAGTGCACTGGTGTCTCACACACGGAGACGGAGGAGGATCACATGTGAGAGACTGACAAGGAACTGCCTCTGTGTGTGAGGAGCCGGAGATAGTGAACTTGTGCACGAGTGAACTGGTAGTGTGTAAATCCCGGTGGGATAGCGCTACAAAACGTTATCTGATGCATAAAACAACAGTGTTCAGGAAAGCAGTCAGGATCACTTTCCTTACTGTGTAGACACTGGTTCCTAAAACATGGCAGCTCCCGTAAACCAGATGTTTTGGCTTCAGTTTTTAACAAAAGCAGACATGCCAAGCCTCCTTGAACCGTCACCTTATCGTGGTGGAGGAGTTTGAGTGCCCTAATGATCCTAGCAGCTACGCTGTCTGGGGCACTTTGTGCCCCTGGTAGGGTCTCCCATGACAAATGAGTCTTAGGTGAAGGGTGAGACAAAAACGGTTCAGAGGATCTTTCATGGACGTACAATCAAAGAGTCGGAGTACCCGGCCCGGAGGGTTACCGGGGTCCCACCCTGGAGACAGACCTGGGGTTGGGGCACGTGAGCAAGCGCCTGGTGGCCGGGCTTTCGCCCATGGGGCTCAACTGGGCCCAGGCCGAATCGAATACATGGGCTCATCCAACTGTGGACCCACCACCCGCAGGAGGAACATGAAGGGTCCGGTGCAATGTGGATCGGGTGGCAGACCGAGGCGGGAGCATTGGCGGTCCGATCCCTGGACAAGGAAACTGGTTATTGGGACATGGAACGTCACCTCGCTGGCGGGGAAGGAGCAGGAGCTTGTGGCAGAGGTTGAGCGGTACCGGCTAGATATAGTCGGACTCACCTCGACACATAGCATTGGCTCTGGAATCCAAGTCCTTGAGGGGGTTGGACACTCTCCTTTGCTGGAGTTGCTCCGGGTGAGAGGCGGAGGGCTGGGGTTGGCTTTTTGTTAGCCCCAAGACTCTCAGCCTGTGTGTTGGGGTTTACCCCGGGGGACGAGAGGGTAGCTTCCCTGCGCCTTCGGGTCGGGGAACTCGTCCTGACTGTTGTTTGTGCTTATGGGCCAAATATCAGTTCATAGTACCCACCCTTTCTGGAGTCCCTGGGACGAGTGCTAGATAGTGCTCCATCAGGGGACTCCATTGTCCTGCTGGGGGACTTCAATGCTCACGTGGGCAATGACAGCTTGACCTGGAGGGATGTGATTGGGAGGAACGGCCCGCCTGATCTGAACTCGAGTGGTGTTTCTCTATTAGACTTCTGTGCAAGCCGCAATTTGGCCATAACGAACACCCTGTTCGAACATAAGGATGCCCATCGGTACACTTGGTACCAGGGCAGCCTAGGTCGCAGGTCGATGATAACTTTGTAGTCGCATCATCTGACCTGCGGCCGTATATTTTGGACACCCGAGTGAAGAGAGGAGCGGAGCTGTCAACTGATCACCACCTGGTGGTGAGTTGGATCAGATGGCAGGGGAAGATGCCGTGTAGACCTGGCAGACCCAAACGCATAGTGGGGGTCTGCTGGGAACACCTGGCAGAAGAACCTGTCAACATGGTCTTCAACTCCCACCTCCGGCAGAGCTTTGACCGCGTCCCGAGAGCAGTGGGGGACATTGACTCCGAGTGGGCCTTGTTCCACTCTGCGATTGTTGAGGTGGCTGTTGCTAGCTGTGGTCGTAAGGTGGCCGGTGCCAGTCGTGGTGGCAACCCCCGTACCCGCTGGTGGACACCAGAGGTTCGGCGAGCCGTCAGGCTGAAGAAGGAGGCCTACAGGGCATGGCTGGTCTCGGTCGGTCTCCGGAGGCAGCAGACGGGTACCGGATATCCAAGCGGGGTGCAGTAGTGGCAGTTGCCGAGGCAAAATCTCGGGCGTGGGAGAAGTTTGGTGAGGCCATGGAGAAAGACTATCGATCGGCTCCAAAGAGGTTCTGGCAAACTGCCCGGCGCCTCAGGAGAGGAAGGCAGCAACTCGCTCACACTGTTTACAGTGGGGATGGGGAGCTGCTGACATCAACTGGGGCTATAGTCGGACGGTGGAAGGAATACTTTGAGGAGCTCCTCAATCCCACCAATGCGCATTCCGAGGAGGAACCAGAGCCGGGAGACCTGGGGATGGACTGTCCAATCTCAGGGGCAGAAGTTGCTGAGGTAGTCAAACAAATACATAGCGGCGGAGCCCCGGGGGCGGATGAGGTTCGTCCTGGGTATCTCAAGGCTATGGATGTGGTAGGGCTGTCGTGGTTGACACGTCTCTGCAACATTGCGTGGTCATCGGGGGCAGTTCCTGTGGAGTGGCAGACCGGGGTGGTGGTCCCCATCTTTAAGAAGGGTGACCGGAGGGTGTGTTCCAACTATAGGGGGATCACACTCCTCAGCCTCCCTGGAAAGGTCTACTCCAAGGTACTGGAGAGGAGGGTCCGATCGATAGTTGAATCTCAGATTGAGGAGGAGCGATGTGGTTTTGTCCTGGCCGTGGAACTGTGGACCAGCTCTATACCCTTGCAAGGGTGATGGAGGGGGCATAGGAGTTTGCCCAACCAATGCACGTGTTTTGTGGATTTGGAGAAGGCTTACGACCGTGTCCCCAGGGGCAACCTGTGGGGGACGCTCCAGGTGGGTGGCTTTCTGTTAAGGGCCATTCAGTCCCTTTACCAGAGGAGCGTGAGTTTGGTTCTCATAGCCGGTAGTAAGTCGGACCTGTTCCCGGTGAGGGTTGGACTCCGCCAGGGCTGTCCTTTGTCACCGGTTCTGTTCATCACTTTTATGGACAGAATTTCTAGGCGCAGCCGTGGTTTGGAGTGTGTCAAGTTTGGTGGCAGGAGAATCTCGTCTCTGCTTTTTGCGGATGATGTGGTCCTCCTAGCTTCATCCAGCTCTGACCTTCAGCTCTTGCTGGGTAGGTTCAGCTGGGATGAGTATCAGCACCTCCAAATCTGAGACCATGGTTCTCGACCGGAAAAGGGTGGCTTGCCAACTCCGGGTCGGGAGAGAGGTCCTACCTCAAGTGGAGGAGTTAAAGTATCTCGGGGTCTTGTTCACGAGTGAGGGTAGGAGGGATCGGGAGATCGACAGGCGGATTGGTTCGGCGTCTGCAGTGATGTGGACGCTGAGCCGATCTGTCATGGTGAAGAGGGAGCGGAGCCAGAAAGCCAGGCTCTCGATTTACCGGTCGATCTACGTCCCAATCCTCACCTATGGTCATGAGCTTTGGGTAATGGCTGAAAGAACGAGATCGCGGACACAAGCGGCCAAAATGAGTTTCCTCCGTAGGGTGGCCGGGCTCAGCCTTAGAGATAGGGTGAGGAGCTCGGACATTCGGGAGGGACTCTGAGTAGAGCCGCTGCTCCTCCGGATCGGAAAGAGTCAGTTGAGGTGGTTTGGGCATCTGGTCAGGATGCCTCCCTGGGGAGGTGCTTCGGGCATGTCCTGCCGGCAGGAGGCCCCCAGGTCGACCCAGGACACGTTGGAGAGGTTACATCTCCAGTCTGGTCCGGGAACACCTTGGGGTCTTGCCGGAGGAGCTGGTGGAGGTGGCTGGGGAGAGGACGGTCTGGAGCTCCCCAGTTGGGATGCTGCCCCCGCGACCCGGATAAGCGGAGGAAGACGACGACAAGATGCCAAGTCTATTCTTAATGCAAGTCAATGGGTAGGACTTAAAAACATGGAATTTCCCATCTGTGATCATTCTGTTTGGAGAGAGTAAACTGTGGAGTGTTCCTGTAGTACCATGGATTCTGGCAAAGCTCTTGACGATTATGGCTCTTCCACCCAGATGCCGAGGCTCTAGGGCTGCGTGCTCTCTGCTGGAGCCCTCTCCGTAGTTGTCATCTCCAACAACGACCCATGACACACCGTTGGCCTGCAGGATTACATGACCTCATCAGTGCTGGTGTCGTGCAACAGAATGGTGCTACAGAGTGAACTACTGAGAGCTAGTGGGAAGCTGCAGCTGTGGTAGTGGTGATGTTTTACCTTGTAGTGCCGGGCCACATCTGGGACTCCTCCATAGTCTCCTTTCAGGTGGTTCTTCACCTTGTTGACAGCATCGTTCTCGCTGTTGACGGCACCAATCAGCATGTTGTTGGAGATGTTGTCAAGATGACCACGGAACTTCAGCCACGGTCCTGCAGCACTGATGTGGTCTGTGGTGCATTTTCCCTTCACCTTTAGAAACAGGAAAGGGTTACACTGCAACTCCAGTATCTGTTGGACCAAGAAAAAAGTCCTGTAGGTTTTCCAGGAAGCCCACCTTGATGAGGACCACCAAGTCTTCCAGATCTCCTCCGCTCCACTTGTCAAAAGGCTCGAGCAACTGCAGCCGGGTGCTCTGAGGGCTAACGTCCACAGTGAGGTGGCCTCCGTCAGCAGGTGGGTGCTGGTAGGTGTCCTGACCTGGGTCAAAGTCCTTGGCTGGTAATTCATCTCCAGTTGGGGGTTCCAGCTTGAACTTCTCTCCGTTGGGGGCTGTGAGGTAATCTGTCTCTGGATTGAAGTCTAATGAGCCAGCGATGGCGATGGCAGTGACGATCTAAGGGAGAGATTTAGAGATGAGATGTAAATCTGGGTGAAACGTGGAGTTTTAAGGGACACTTTGGCCATCTATTCCTCATACTAGCATTAGCTTATCTGTCCTTTAGAAACTGAACCTTATGGTTGTTTAGGAGGTCATCTACACAAGACAACAATTCTACAAATATTTTGCAGAGAAACTTAAAACGGCCTGGAGATTGCTTTGAGTTTGCATGGTGTGGGTTTACCTCAGGGGAAGTAACAAAAGCATGGGTAGCTGGGTTAGCATCGTTCCTGGCGGTGAAGTTCCTGTTGAAGGACGTGACGATGGTGTTCTTCTCTCCCTTTTTCACATCACGCCTAAAACACAATTAATTTACAAAACACAGTTGTCATGTTGAACCAAGTTAAGCCGCTTTTAAAGTTACGACTGTAGCTACCTGTCCCACTGTCCGATGCATGGCCCACACGCGTTAGCGAGAACGACACCTCCAACATCGCCGAAGATCTTTGACTACAGAAAAACAAAACATTTTAGCTTCCAACTCCTCTCATCACTACGGACGTTCGGCTCCTCACACTTACATATCCATCTCTTTCGATGGTGGCGCGGATCTGCTCTGAGCCAGGGGTGACGGTAAACTGGGATTTACACTTCAGGCCCTTGTCCAGAGCCTGTTTGGCCAGAGAGGCAGCGCGGCCCATGTCCTCATAGCTGGAGTTGGTACAGCTGCCGATCAGACCTGCAGCAACCAAGAGGATTGGACCTCAGTTTGCTATAAAACCACCAAAAACACTCAACCATGGTGTGTGCGCCCAGTTAATGGGTGTAAATAAAACAGTCAACAAGTCCTCACCAACTTTGACCTCCAGAGGCCAGCCGTTCTTTTTAGCCACAGCACCAACTTCAGACACCGGGTGAGCCAGGTCAGGGGTGAAAGGTCCGTTAATGTGGGGTTTCAGCTGTACATAAACAAGTACAGCAACACTTTAAATGACTTCACCTTTCATCTGCTCAGATTTATGTTTTAATGTAATGAAGTAACAGTTATTTAAGGATGAACCCATAAACATCTAAGAAACCTTAGAAAAAATGTCATAAAACAGAAGTTGTTCATTTAAAACTTAGGGCTGTCTGTTACCGGTTTCAGGAACGGAAACATTTGTCCTTTTAATCTAAATACTTTAAATAACACTAACAAAGAACTGCTGGGTTGTTTTGTTATTTGGTTATTAACACGTCATCCATTCATTCATGAGAAATGTTGCTCCACATTCCTTGTTTGAGGTCCTCAATCTGATCCACATGTTGGGATTAAAGAGTTCGAAGTGGTCAGATTGGGCCTCGACATGCGTGGCCTGGTCCACATATCTGATGTGTGTTTTAGCTCAAGTTTATCGACACCTGGCACTGAGCTGGATACCCATGGCAACAGAGACTTGGCTCATGGCAGGTCGTTGGAACCAACCAGCACAGTGCAGGGCTGCTGGGCGCATTTTCTACTTATCCACAATATAAGGTCTATTCATGGAAGGATTTACATCTAAAATAATCTCCACCGTATCGATTCTGATCAGAAGTAAAAATCATCCCATCTAAACAGAACTCTTTAGGATTCTCGGCATCAGACACACCTGAATACTCTCACAGTCCCTAGATCAGACTGCAAAACAACACGTGACCATATATAAAATAAAAACCATTCAAGAGATGCTTGTCTCTGTCACGTGACACATTACAACTAAAAACAGACCTACAAGTTAGTGAAATAGTAAAGAACAAACTTATTTGACCTAGATGCGAGTCTTGTTCCACAGAACCGGGCTCGGGGCTCCCACCGGTACAGGGAGTTGTCTTTTTCATGCACTTTATATTTATTGTCTTACAGGAGTAAAGGAATCAATTATGACTCCGACTGAAAGAGGACAACACATACAAGCTTCACTTTCAGATCATCCCTCAGTAGATTTATTTTTTTACGTATATTTGGAGCTTTAGGGTATTTCCTTGCATCAAACCGGATTAATAAGCTGTCTACTCCAACTCATTTTCCTCTAATGCTGCGTTACTCCTACATGATGCTCTCTGAAATAAATGAAGGCAGAAACATCAAGTTAACATTTAAAAAGGTGACTTGCCTGATCCAGATTGAGTTCAATGATCTGGTCATACTTGCAACCTTCGTCTGGTACCAGCAAGTCTTTGTATTCATCAGCTAGCTGAGCGATTTCTGAGAGAGAAAAAAAAAACAAAACGATTATCCTCAGAAACATTTGCAAAGTAACTAATACCCCCCCAACTGATCTCCAACCATCTTCTCACTCTCAGAAAACGTGTGTACTCATATGGGGCTTTCACATCTGGGTAATCTGTGGTCAGCTGACCTGTTTTTTTATTCTGATGGTGGTGGTGAGCACGTCGCTGAGCAGACCCGACCCAACACACCCACTACAGACTGAGTGGCTGGCTGAAGTTCACACCTACCTACCAGAGGGAGCCTCTGATTGACGGGTAGACTCAATCAGCGGCGGCTTCCCGCACACAGGACTAATTATCAGTCTGGATGCAGTGGGGTCAACATCTCCTCTGACTGCTGCTTGGACCTGCTGCTCCAGCCACGAGAGCCAGAGGACAGACTGCTGTGTGCTTAATGACAGTCTCCAAAAGCAACACTGCTCACGGCCGCTTTTCTTTACTAGTTTAAGAACACCGCAAACTTCTCTGTACGTCTTTTGGCCCGCCCACATGGTCGGGAGACATTCGTGTTCTTGAGAAAACTGTGTGAACACAACCTGGTCGCGCCGGGACGAGCCGACCCAACCCAGTCCGGTCTGGGCTCACCCAGAAGTGAAAGTGACTTTAGCTTCTGCTCACTAAGGCTGCATCTATCGATTATCTTAGTGCTCGAGTCGTCTATCAGATCCTCTGTTGATTCATCTGATTATTTATTTGACAACCCTTCAAGTGAAACAAGACTGGTCTGTGGTTCTGCAGCGAGCGCCACTTGGAGATGTCAGACTCTTATTATAAACGGCTCAATAATATGTATTACACAGGTGTTTAGTTCCCTCTTTCTCGTCCGATATTTCTAGTTAATATTTTATGGAAAAATTATACCTATATTTCATCACTCATCCCAGCCAAAGTAACAAATCTAAATATACGATCAGTAGAAATTACTTCATTAATATATTCAGTAGTAAGCTACTGGAAATGCTAACAACATTCATTTCTACTGGTAACAATGTAATGGTGGCATTTCTATTATGTATGGGTTGGCAATATAATCCCGTCTAAATTGTATTCAAAGATAGAAGCGTTTGTAAATGACATGCTACAACGGCTTTCCATATGGATGGTATGGAGCAGCAGACTCATAACAACTAACAGGTATCTGCTGCGGCTCTGGCCCGTACCGCTGCAGCTGCACACATCCACAAATAAACGGGATGGTGGGGACTTCTCTCCCGCTTGTAGAGTTCAGTTGTTCACAACCATCGATTTTTTGCTGAACCCCACTTGATCATGAGTGTGTTATCTGCTAGCATTAGCATTAGCCAATCTGGTTGTAGTTTCACTCTTGATCCCAAACTTTGGACCTTTTCTGTCTTTTACAACGGTTTGTCTTTGCTGGTTTCTACATTTTCCTCCACAGCACCTAGATAACCACGTTATGGGCCAGTAAATTTGACTGTGGAGCACGCATTTAACGAAGCCTCAAACCATTTGCTGATTTGTTTCAGCCCTATTTGTCACCAGCCTATTGCTATAAATATTTTTAATTCTACACACACACACACCCCCACGGCCAGTTTTCTCCAGGTAGGTCTTCATGCGGTGATTGTAAGGGAACACAGAGGTTGTGGCTCCAATCTCAGCTCCCATGTTGCAAATGGTGGCCATTCCTGCACGTAAGAATGTAAACAAGTAAATAAAAAGTAAAAATCCATTTCAAGAGTAAAAGTGATACAGCATTTCATTTCTGACCAGTGCAGGAAATGGAGTCGACTCCAGGTCCATGGTACTCCACGATGGCGCCAGTGCCTCCCTTTACAGTGAGAATGCCGGCCACCTTCAAGATGACGTCTTTTGGGGATGTCCAACCGGAGAGGGAGCCAGTCAGTTTCACACCAATCACCTTAAAATGGAGGACGAGACGGGAAGCAGCTTGAGAACCATGCTCAAGCAGCACCAAACCTGGGGAACTGTAATCTTTTAACCTTTGGACATTTGAGCTCCCAGGGAATGCCTGCCATCACATCAACTGCATCAGCTCCTCCAACTCCAATGCAGATGGCACCGAGACCACCGCCGTTGGGCGTGTGGGAATCTGTGCCGATGAGCATCACTCCTGGGTAGGCGTAGTTCTCCAGGATGATCTGTTCACACATTAAGATGTTACTCATCAGTCTGTTTATCCGCTGGCCAAACTGTGTTTTAAACATTTAGGAACCTGATGGATGATTCCAGATCCAGGTTTCCAAAAGCCCACTCCATACTTTGCTCCAGCACTTGACAGGAAGTTGTACACCTCTTTGTTCACATCCTAAAAGGAGACGTGCATCTGCAACTCAGTCCTGTACTGTTTAGAAAAATAAATAGCTCACAACATCTAGAGGCTCCTCACCTTGGCCCTGGCCAGATCCTTGACCCCGCCAATTTGAGCCTCTATGAGGTGATCGCAGTGGATGGTGGAAGGAACCGCCACCTTGGGCAGGCCGCTGCTGATGAACTGCAGCATGGCCATCTGAGCCGTGGCGTCCTGCATGGCCACACGGTCGGGGCGCAGCCGCAGGTATGTGCGGCCGCGATCAATCTCCTGGTTGTGGGGATCATCAAGATGGCCATACACAATCTTTTCTGAGAGAGTGAGAGGACGGTTGAGTCTATGAATCAAACAAAGAGAGACGTCAGTGAGGCACTTAGGCCTACTGCAGAACAGCCATGATGGAAACTATAATAAAGGGCATGTAAACCGTAGAGCTCAGCCACTCACAGATAACAGAGCATCAGTGGGCATGAGCAGGAGGAAGTGAACAAATTAAAACGGATACCTTTTTCGGACAATTTCAACGTTGGCTTGGAGCTTCTCGTAGTTGACAAAGGAGGCGGGCTCAAAGCGGCTCATTGCCACTTTGGCCTTGGCTCTGTAAGCTGCCGACACATGCAAGCGCCGCACTCCGTGGCCCAGGACCGTCTGGAATCAGAAACATCACAAACATATGGGCATGAGCCGCAAAAATGTCACAGCCCTCTTGAATGTGATGAGTCAAAGGTCACCCCCACGCCCACGTGTTCACGTCCCAGGAAGCCTGTTCCACAAGTTAACAGCCACACATGTTACAATAGATTCTACTTTTAAAAGTATTTACCTAAAGGGGTGTAGCCCGACTGATTTTGTATAAGTAACTGGTGTTTATGTGCCCATGAGCAAAGACTCTCTCGTTAGAGACAGAGAAGTTAAGCTTCTCACTTCAAATGAGCTAATATTAGTCAGATCATTAAAAATCTGTGACAGGATGTGGCTTTACTGTCAGTAACCATCCTACAGTTAAGAGCTCTATTTATGACACTGGCAGAGGTGAGAACACATGTAATCACATGAATTTCCAACTATGCGCGTTTCCCGTTTTGTTTTTCAATATTGGGATCACCTCGTTTACTGACCACCCAGAAACTATACAGTTATTTATGTTTAGGAAACATTAGGAAAGCTTTTATAGAAACTAAAATAATCGCCTGTATTAGATCAAAGACGCACATAATCCCAAATTTAGGACTGACTACATAATTCGTTTATGTAATCTCCCACAGAAACGGGAGTTTACTTGATAACTTTCCACGTTTACCTGTACTGAAATGCGTTCTGGGAGCTCTAACCTTGTTTTTAACCTTGCAGTTTTAAACCGAGCTCCGCCTTAAGAACCGAACTAAGCCCGGGGATTAAAAAGCTCGTCATTTTTCTGATTAGATCTCGGACATTAGAGCCACGCAGTGACTTTACTTTTATTTAAGCGCTCGTAGTGTTCAGGACACGATGACCTGTCTGACCAGCTGACCGGTGGCGTGTCCACAGCCTTTCGTTGACCCACAGATCGGCTCTCGGACCTCTAACGGCCTCAGAGGCGGGCTAACCCGGGTTTGTGCTCGCTACGTGGGCGAGCGCCTCCCGCCTCTGGTGGTAAATGTTACTTTAGATGTGTTTTTAATCCTTACCTGAAGCCGGGCCACAGTCAGACAGTAGGTTGCCATTTTGTTCACTGACAAAGATGTGAGGGTCGTCGATGACGTCAGGCGATCTTATAGCTGTTCTTCTTCTGTGGTTTTGAACAGCTTGCATCTCCGTAATACTGCTCTCTACTGGAGAAAGATCGCCCAAGGTACTTTTCCTGACTTTTCAGACGAGCCGCTGTTTGGATTTTGATGTAGAATTTGGATTTTTCATTACTTGAATGAATCTAAGATACATGTTTCACTTTTACCCTTTGCTGGCTAAAAATAGCACAACAGTCTGGTTTCCAACAGCATTTAATGAATACAGTTAGCTAGGACACATTTCTCAATACTAATAGTCACTTTTGCAAAAGACTTCACACAATTCTAACCGACTTTCAGCTTGGCAAAGCAGTTCATTCCACATTCAAAATGCACTACAACTACCAAAACACTTATTCAGGTCCCAAATAAACACTTTCTTCCAGAACACTATCAATGGTTGACAGCAGACAAACACACTTTGTCACCCACAAAACAACGACCGAAAACACCAACAACAAGCAGCATTACAGTGTTTTCTTGTCTAAAACAAAGACACGTCTCTGTTTCTTATTGCAATACATATTGTTCATAACTGGAATATATGTTACCAGAATGAATCAGACATGGTGCAGAATTCGTCAATATTTTATGTTGTTTATTTATTTTTATGTTTTTGCTAATTCCAAAACACAAGAATTTGTATACACACCATCCACTGATACAGATTAGTGATGCACCAATACGAAGTTTTTTGGGCCGATACCGATATCCAATATCACTGTTATGGCCGATAACCGATATTTGCCGATATCGATATACTGACATTAATGCTTCTAAAATCAGCAGATTTTGTATAGAATAAAAATTATTAAAGCTGAATTTACATTATTATGTACACACAACACACACATTTACGCTTCTGAGATGATTACAATCACTGTCACGTGACTAAACAATTACACATCACCCCCCTCACCCTCTGAAACAGGCAAACAAATGGAGACAAGATGGAAAGAATATCGGTCGATAACATCGGCCCCTTTTTTATTTATCAAACCGATATGTTAAAAAATGACTAACATCGGCCGATACCGATATTGTCCATCCCTAATACAGATAAAATAGACTGATATGTCCAGGCATCTGTATGTATTCCTTGCCCCCTCCCAGCCTCTCTTCTTCCTCTTTCAGCTGCTTCTCTATTTCCAGCTGCTCCATGTTTACATCACAACACAAACCTATTCAGCAGTAGCTCCTTCTGTAATGAAACAGAAAGAGTAACACTTGTGTAGGTGTTCATCTACAATGTGAATCAGCTGTGGCTGGTTAAACTGCATTTGTAGATTTAACGCCCTGGAGGCAGGCGTTGCAGATTTGCAACGTTAAAACCTACCTACCTGGTTACTCCACATACGTATTTCATGAGCATTTTTAAACTCAGAAGTACCCCTGAAGGACTTAGTAGTTCATCCTTTTATCAAAACTTTTTTTGAGCCTAAGAGGGTTAAAATATATTTCAGTAAAATATTGCTGTTGAATTTTGCTGTCTTATTAAGTTTTGCATTATGTTATTGTTTTAAACATAAGTGTACCAGTTTTGTAAACAGTATGTAAGCATGTGCAAAATGTGCTGCCTTTACAAAGACTTTTGGCAGTTTTTGTGCCTGAGTGAGAAAAGAATTCATGAAATTTGAGAGATGTAGTCACTGAATGCATTTTGTGTCAAAACAATAATTGGTCCTCAGTTTAGCCCACATGGACCTTCTGTTGTGCTCACTGTGTGAAGAGTTGTCCAAAAGTGACATTGAGAAATGTGTCCTAGCTTCTGTAAAAAACTGTAATAGATGGCACCATACCATAGTTTATTTATATAGCACGTTTAAAACGCAGCATGGGAGCAGCCCAAAGTGCTGCACAGGCCAAAACAAAACGCGACCATTCAGAAGATAAGGAGTTGCTGCCCTCCAGTGTCTGAAAACTGTACTACAACTTAGTCCTTTTTAGCCATTTTGACAGAGATTTAGCCTTCTTGTCTTAATGAAGCTTTAAAAAATTTAAATGCCTGTTGTGTAGCTAGATGCTAATAGCCCAGATGTGGCTTATTGATTTAAAATTGTTGAACACAGATAATTAAAATAAATTTGCTGAAGTTTAGCACAATATTACAAGTAAACTTTCCCATTCAGTATGTAGAGCAAATATGCTGTTAACACTAATTTAAAACCTGCAGATTTTTTTTGTGGAATAACTTATTTTTGAAAGGAATCTACATGAAATGCAATGTTTTGTCTTGTTTAGCATAATGAACACTGCATGCAGTTCTGGTCCAGCACAGGGTGAAATAAATCTGTTTGCAGTCATCTGTTTCCATCCAGTTGACCCAAATAAAACATATAAATCCCTTATAGACAGATTACGTTGGCATCATTAAAACCAAATGTTAGGTTAAAAGTAATACAATTAAAAGTTTATAAGTTAAGCAACCAGTAACCAAATACAAATGCAGCTTTTAAACTTTTTTTGGTCTAAATCAATCATAAGAGTTATGTAGTAGAAACACTTCCTCTATTTTTTTTCAAACACTTTGTATTGCTGCCTTGAAAGAATGGGGAGATGTCGCCGTCTGCTGGCCAAAAACAGAACAACAACGGTTTCCAAAACGGTTTCCGAGTTGCCGCCCTCTGGTGTCTGAAAGCTGGTGCTACACTTTTGTTGTCTAATGAGCTTTGAAAGAAAACACTTTTGTTCTTTTTAGCCATTTAGAAGAGAATATTTTATTAGCCTTTTATCTTATTTAAGCTTTACAAAACATTTCGTCTTTCATTTTGTCCTCTTGGGAATGTTAATGTTAAGGAGGAGAAGGAGGTCTTTCTGCAGCACTCATATGTTTTAATCAAGTGTTCAATTATGAACGTTTTTCAAAGTGTTATTTCTAAACGTTATGTTAAATTGCTTAAGCTGTTGGTGCTGATAAAGACAATGGAAGAAACATTTTTTATATAACGCCTCTCAAGATAAATATCACAAGGTACTTCATAAGAACAAAAAAAAAATGGATATACTTTTTCTTTTTCCATGCTGCCGTTCTTTTTTAAAACACAGAAACGGTTTCTGTGTTTTAAAAAAGAACGACAGCATGGAATTAAAAACAAGACACAGCAAGAACACACCTAAGACTTTTTCTTTTTGTTCTTATGAAGTACCGTGTGATATTTATCTTGAGAGGTGTCATATAAAAAATGTTTCTTCCATTGTCTTTATCAGCACCAACAGTTTAAGCAATTTAACATAATGTTTAATAATAACAAAAATGTGGAAAAGGAAAATAAATGTGAAGGAAGACAAAAACGATTAAGAAAAGTGAATCATATTAATAATCCAAAAAGGTTCAAATGAAGGCAAATGGACTTCTTTGGTTTCTTGAAGATGTTTCGTATTCTGTTAGTCTTTAATAGGAATTTTATCCTTGATTTTTATGCTGTTTTTATGTACCTGATTTCCATGTTTTTACTTTGTTTTGCTGATATGCCCGAGCATTTGGCTCTTTTATGTGGCCGTCTCCAAGTTTAGGTCCTCCACCACCTCTCTTACCCATGGTGTCCCACAAGGTTCTGTGCTGGGGCCTCTACTCTTCCTCCTCTATCTGCTTCCTCTTCAGCACATCCTGAGCTCCTTTAAATGAATCTCCTACCATCTTTATGCAGATGACATCCAACTGTACATCTCCTTTAAGCCCCATGAGATGTCTAAGCTGCAGATGTTACACACCTGCTTAGACTCTATTAAAACCTGGATGGCTGGGAGCTTTCTACAGCTGAATGAAGATAAGACTGAGATCCTCATCTGTGCTCCAGACAAGCTGGTTCCCAAAGTCAGAGACTCTCTTGGTCAGCTTGCTTCTCACACCAAACCTTCCGTCAGGAATCTTGGCGTGACCTTTGACCCAGCTCTCACCCTGGATTCTCATGTAAGTTCTCTTGTTCGCTCTTCCTTCTTCCATCTCAGGAACGTTGCTAAGCTGAGTCCCATTCTGTCCCGCTCTGAACTTGAGACAGTTATCCACACCTTCATCTCCTCATGCTTAGACTACTGTAACTCTCTTTTCACGTGTCTGAGCAGAACCTCCCTGAACCGTCTACAGGTGGTTCAGAATGCCTGTGCTCGGCTTCTGACCAAGTCCTCCAAACACACCCACATCACCCCGCTTCTCCTCCAGCTTCACTGGTTGCCAGTCAACTTCAGGGTTCATTTCAAGATCCTGGTTCTGGTCTATAGGGCCTTACATGGACAAGCACCATCTTACATTGGTGATCTTCTCAGTCCCTACACCCCCAGCAGGTCCCTGAGGTCCAGTGATCAAAGCCTACTGGTTGTGCAGCACCAGGCTAAAGACCAAAGGTGACAGATCATCTGCTGCTGTGGCTCCCAGACTCTGGACCTCTCTCCCCCTGAGCCTGAGGTCAGTGGACTCAGTGGTCTCCTTCAAAAAGCAGCTGAAGACTCACCTGTTCAGGCTGGTTTTTGTATGACCTTCTTCACCCCTCTCTCTTTATTCTGCTCTCCCCACCTATTCCACCTTCCTCAGGATCCACTGATTTCCCTCTTTCCTATTCACTCTCTCTTTCTTAACATTTTTTCTTTTAAATCGCAATTGCTTATTCTTGCTCATTTTAAATATATTTTAAAACATTTTCAAAATGCTTTTTTATATTTTTACAATTTTTATATTTTTTGTTTTTGTTTTTGTGAAGCGCCTCGTGATTTTTATCTTGAGAAGCGCTATAGAAATGATATTTTCTTCTTCTTCTTCTTCTTCTTCTTCTTCTTATGCACAAAGCTTTGGTTAGCTGCCATGCTACCCCTCCTCTCTACCCCCGATGAGCCTCTATTGAAAGGGAGTCCTTGTGTTGATTAGATCCAGGAAGATGTGACTAGACTGAAACTGCTTAGGAATGAGATTCAAAGCAGCACGTTAGAAAATGTAAAAAAAAAAACGAAAAAAAAAAGATTGAATTAAATTAACAAGATGCTATTCAAATTTGTATGGAGAAAGACTCACTATTTAAGGAAACCTGTTT